ACTGCAGTGTTAATCCTTGCAATCCTTGTATTTGAGATAGTGCCTTTCATGTCAGGCTGACATCTCAAAAGCACCTTACAGGATTTACTGTAAAGCATAGTGATTGTATTTTGTAGGTGAACAAGGCTCTAATTTGCACAGAGCAATGACTCATGAACAGCCATGGAGTGAATGGCTAATTATATCTGGGGAGTTGTTGGCCAAGGCACTGGGAGAAACTCCCTTCTCTTTTCAAGTAGTGCCACAGGATTTTTAACATCCACTTAAAGAGGCAAACGGGACAGTGCTTTAACATCTCATCTGAAGGACCACACCTCCATCAAGTCCCTCCTCACCTGGGTCTCTCAAAGAAAAAACGTTAGCCCAGAAACATTTGCCTGGAGACTAAGACCAACTGTCCTCAGGAGGAAGGCATATTGAGGATAGAATGGTGAATAGTCCAAAAGTTGCAATAATTGGCCTGGACATGCAAGGCATAACAGAGCAGAAAGGAATTTGGGACAATCTTAGATACCATATTGTATATGCCTTGATCTGAAACATTCTAGTTTAAAAATGGACCACAGTGGATGTGGACATTCTTTTCTTACAATAGCCCTACGACAGGATATTTGGCATTTCTCTCACTTTCAGCTTTAAGAGTGTTGACACTGCAGGAGCCACTTGAGGCTTGTGAATAAATTGTGACTTTGCAAGGGCAGTAAAAGTTAGTGCTCTGTGTAATTGTGAAGCTGCAGTCCTTTCTTTGTGCTGGGGAGGGAGTTAATGGGCCGGCAGGAATCGGTTTTATGGAGTCATGTTTAACACGATGTCAAGGTTTTTGCACGCTTGTTCTAATAAAACACCATAGATTATTAGGGAGTACTGCTTATTGCGGAATGTAAGGCCTCTCTTCTCTGCATCCAATCAGATTTTGTAAGCGGCCAAAAGGAATTCCATGCTTGTTACCAGCCGCTCTGCCTCGCCTGACTCCTTCAAAACCCCTCTCAAGACACTCTTCTTCGACCGTGCCTTCGGTCACCCTCCTACCCCTACCCTCCCGCTCCTGACCCCTCCTAATCCCAACCACCAGCTCGGGTGCGGATCTCTGACTGTCCAGCACCTTGGGACATCCTCCTGACGTGAAAGACGCTATACAAATCTAATTTGTTGTTGTTGCCCCCTGTCAGTCATCAGTCTTTGGAGTGACTAGAAACCGGGGACTTTTAAGCTGATTCTGAATAATGTTGTCAAAACCCAGTCAGAGAAAATACTTCTTGTGGTCTTGATTTGTTCTTACAGCTATGAGCTCTCTGGGTTAGTATTGTAGGGGCTTTGCCGTTGACCTTTCAAGGGCCTTGGTCAGGGTGGCTGGATGATTTGATGAAGTTGATTTGGATATTTTTGATTTGAAAAGAAAAGATGCAAAGTTGAGAATTCCTCCAGTTCTGGAATGTGTTGTTATTATATTATTACAATAGCCCCTCTGCTGTACTTCTAACAACCAAATATCTTTTTGCTGCTGGTGTCTCTGTGGAATCCCTGGCTGTCTGATGCTTCCTGCATTATTTGAAACACAATTCATCTGACTTGCATCGAGTCAAGCTGCTTGCATTACCCCAGGATATTTAGTCTCCACAGTAATATCCAGTTCGGATATTTTATACAAACAAATATATCATGGCTAATTTATGAAATCTCTCTATCGATGGAACTCAGAAAATGGAAATAATCCAGGCTTCACAGTGAGGGCATAAACCTCTCACAGCCAAATGATCACAGGTTAGAAACTCAATCTCCCATATCGTAGTTACCTATGAGTTGGGTGCCACATTTTGGTCCTCATCATAATGAAGGATTCCAGAGTTGAGTGCACTACTTCTTCCATTTTTAGTCGAGTGTCCAACCTTGAGCACCCCCAAATATAAGCACAGTCAGAATATAGCTGACTTCACTCTGGCCCAGTAACAGGCAATAATAATAATAATACTTGCATTTGATGTAGCGCCTTATCATGTCATTGACACTTCTCAAAGTGCTTCACAGAATATATTGTAAATTGGAGTGACTGGGTATTTTGTGGGTGAAAAGCGGCAGTCAAATGCACACAGCAGTGTCAAACAGTCATGCATTGAGTGACCACAATTTATTTTGAAGGAATTATTAACTCCCGAAAGCGCTCTGTCAATCAACTAAGAACTGGGTTCCTATTTATTAATCTCCTAGATTCCCACACCACATGCAATGGCTTTCTCGAGTGACATGGCCAATTCAGTGCTGAATTAAGACAGTAGTAGGAGCAGTTTTGTTCCCCCTGTCCACTGGGACCTGGGCTGCAATTGCTCCAAACATTTCACATACTATTTAATATTCATTACATTTTTGACTTGGGGAGCTGGAGTTACAGTCTATCTCCTGCACTATACAACACATTTCTGTGCTGCTCCACTTACGGTATCCCACGGGGTGAACCTGAAGGTGAACCAAATATAAGGAAGATGAAGACAGACGACTTAAATCATGTATAGCAGGGAGGAGAAAAGCTTGGTTGTATTAAGCTTTATTAGTGAAATAATTTTAAAAAAACACACAATGGCAAATATTTCAATAAATTAAGATAATCACACGATTCTAAAAACAGCCCAACGTTTATCTTTTGAAGATCTTCTCAAGCTTCTGTTCAAAGATCACAAAATAGGTTTGTTATTTATAAAAAGTGATTGCTCTCATCTATCTGCACAAATGTAGACCCATCAACAACAACTTGCATTTATATAGCGCGCCTCACAGGATAGCGTCCCAGAGCGCCTGACAGTTGTGGAGCACAACTCCGTCGGTCACAGGTGAATTCAGTGAAAATGACAGAAGCTTTTCCAATATCTTGCGGTACAAAGCATACAAGCATGAGGCACACTCACACCATTTTGTGTGCTGAATGGAGCGTTTGCTTGTGATCTGCTAAGCACCTTTCCTCCCTCTCTCCCACACCCTGCTGAAAATGACAATAGCAAGCCATCAATAGCACGCTCTCTCTCTGCGTGGCACTAATATCCCATTTATACAATACAAGCAAATTCACTTTTAGTAATGCTTATTTAAAAGGCAGGTGATGCAGTCACAATACTGAGCAGTACAGTGCACAATGATGATGTGCCCACTCTGCTCTGAGTTGGTTGAACTGCTCAATTTTTAATATTACATCTGTCATCCAACACACACACACACAAATGTTCATAGTGTACAAAATTAATACAGCTGTCTGGAGAAAAAAACCTAAAACGTATCAAAATAACTATTATCCCAGCATAATAGAAAGTGTAGCAGAAAGTGCAACAAAATTATTTTTTTTAGGTAAAGTTGATAAAAACAGTGCAACGTTTACAAATTTTGCCAATGCAATTTACAAACACTGAATTACACCTTTTATTTAAAATAAAGTCATGGGCCTTTGCTGACTTGATTTGGGGAGAATAAATTTCAACTCATCAAATGCGCTGTGATTGACATTGAGGTACATGTGTTGAAACAGCAGTGCAATATTGCAACCCATATCTCAGTGAACAGTGTAACTAGCATTCTGCCCAAAGCATAAAAATTACTCTGTTGATTTATACAATTTAACAACAAACATCAAAGCAGTATCTGGTTCCCTTTGATCATACTGGCTTCCACATATGAACCGTTTATCAACGGGCATACTTAATGATTATATATTCCATTTGTAGTTTCACTATGTGAAACTGAAAATAGCCCTCCAAATGAATTACTAATCTGGGCCATTTCACTGCAAAACGGGTCAGACTGCAGTGGTTTCATTTGGCAACTACTCTATGTGCTATGAGTCTCAATGTTTGATTAGATTGAATGGGTAAGATTTTGTGAATGTTTAATGTGAAGCACTGCAGCCAGCATGAGCTCAGATAGGATCCCAGCTCTTCATCACTGTCCAGTGACCCCTGCTGGAAGATATGTGTGTAGGTGCTGCTCGAGCGCAGGATCAGGCTCCTCATGAGTTTGTTGACTGCTTATCTTTTGTTACCCCCTGTGACTGCTCACTCAACATCATTGTACAAACGAAATTGTACATCAGTTGCAGCCCCCATAAAAACACAGGCGACGACATCCTTATGGTGTGACCTTGATTAACGCCACTTAGGTCATTATTGTGCCATAAGGGATTCCTGCAATTTCAAGAAGATATGGTTCAGGAAACCAAGCTAACAGACTGAACAGCAACTCTCTTATTTCATGCTGTAGTTTGGGGCCAGAATGGCAACCTCTACCCTCCATTTTATGGCAACTGTAGCCCAATTGCAATACAGTTAGGCAGCAGTGAGGAATGCATATAACTTGATAATAATAATCCTTGCATTTGATATAGTACCTTATCACATCTTTGAGACGTCTCAAAGTGCTTCACAGAATATATTGCAAAGTGAATTGACTATATTTTGTGGGTGAAACTCGGCAGCCAACTGCGCACAGCAGTGTCCCACAAACAGTCGTGGATTGAGTGACCAAATTATTTTTTTTTGTGCGGCTTATACCCAGCAAAGGCAGCATTCGTTGCCTCATGAACAACATTGATCACTTCAATATTTCAACAAATATAGTGTACATAAAAAATTAGTAATGCCATTCCTCATTATATGACTGTGTGTGACTACAAGCGCATGAGTAGGAAGTCAAATTACATTTTGCAGCATATTTTTGCTGTGCTCTCTGCTTACTGTTGTGTTTAATGAGAAAATTGAAATTCTACTTCCACAGTCAGTTTGAATTAATTGTCACAAGTAGCACTTCGTTTTAGAATATTAAAAAAATCCCCATGCGCTGGGCAATGAGGAAGTCCACCAACCAACCAGACATGGACATTAATCACCCTATAAACATCATCAGCATTTTCTTTAAACTTCAAACCACATGACTTTCACATTTATTCACTGGTGTAACAAGGATCAGTAGGAGGCCAGATGCTTTCAGCAAGTTTCATACGCTCTTTTGAAACAGGTTTTTTTTAAAAAAATGCAAAACAAAATTGGTAAATAGCGACAAGGGAGTTTAAGGCTGCTAGTCAATTAGCTGTCTCTTTGAAATTTTCCATCGTGCCAAGTGTGTAGCAGCCATCATCTCTTACCGTTGTGGGAAAAACCTCACCTCATAATCCAGCTCAACTGTTGCTGTGTGTTTCACATCAGCTCAGGTTGTGCCTGAGAACAATGTGCATTTCATCACTGGAAACAAAAACTCTCATGTGTTCTTACTGTCCAAATATGTATGTATAAACACCACATATATTTTGTAGTATTTCATTTGTACCTGCTGCGTGAACGGATCCAGTGCAGGATCTTTGTCAGCTCATCAAATTTAGTTATACATCCACATCGAATGTCACTGATCAACGCGAACTGCAATTTGTATCAAATAAAGTGATCCAATGATAAACTTTTTTTTAAAGAATGCAGTTACTGGAAGTTTTCAACTATCATCATGTGTTCTAGGGCTGCTAAAACCAGAATTGATCTCACACGACACCTTGGCTGTACACAAACCCAATATTGTAATCAGTAGTGGTGTTAATTCTTTGCTCAGGAGCATACTGGAGGAAATGCGTTGCAGTGATTTTTTTATTATTATGGGTAATTTGTGCTGCTCCATCTCTAAGAGCACACGTGAGGTGGTAAATGGTGGTCTGTCTGTGAGATAATTACTGTCACAATCAATTCAATATATATTGACAGTACTTGTCCCAAAACACATTTTAAAATAAGTCTTCAGCAACGAAATGCAAAAAATTCAGTGTATTTTTCAGTTATTGCTCTTTATGAAATTATTTATGACCACTCAGGTATGATGTCTCATCACACACAAGCCACAGTGTGCCTGATCATGTGTGCAAAATGGAAGAATATTCCATTGTCCAACACTTTCACCCACATCTTGTTCAATAAACATGCACCAAACCAATGCAACATTGAGTTACTAACCTCACCTTAATTTGGCTACAAATCTTTCATACTTAATTTGAATGGTTCACTTTATTATAGACACACACATCACGTATTCATATTTTGCTGTGATTAGTAATTTTTTGTAGAATATAATTAGAAAAGAAATAGATTAAAATATTCTGATACAGTAGTTCTTCTAATCTCAAGGTTTAACTCATCTCAGATTTGCACAATACCATCATTAAATAATTATGTAAAACTTACAAAATATATTGGATAAAGAAATAGTTTTCTGTGTGCAGATAAGGGCATAAGTTGGGGACTTGCAAGTTACAGATACACCTACATATTCCAATATATTCCAATACCAGACTGAAACAAACCACAAGGTCAGAGGTATAAGTTCACAGCCATACTTGATTAGATCTAATCAGGAGAGTGCAAATGGCATACTTCAGTGTCAATCGTTTCAGTGGTACCAATACCAGATCTATACCACTGGATACTAAATATAAAATGTACACCAATGCTCTCTCTGGTAAACTATTAATTCATTACAATTGGTGGTGCGTAACTGAAAAAGTATCTGCTGGTGTGAATGCTGGATCTCCACTAGGCCTTTCACTACTCGTTGAACCTATCTGAACATCTGGCAATGACTGTGGGTCCTTGCAAGTCTGGTCGAGCTGTTGATCTTGAGTAACTTGTTGCGTCTTGCTTTCATTAAGGCCTTGTGTTGGTTGGCTGTGGCTCAGGTGTTGGCTTTCAGTAAATTGTTGCTCCTGGCTGGGTTGAACACCTTGTTGATTTTTACCACTCTGACTCGGAGTTACTGGTTGGCTCAGGCTGCCCTGCATACCATGTGTTGGTTGGCTCTGGCTTAGAGTTACTGAATGTCTCCGGTTGTCCTGAGTGTCAAGTGTTGGTTGGCTCGGGCTAGAAGTTACTGCTTGGCTGTGGATGACCTGAGCACGGTGTTTAGGTTGGTTCAGGCTCGGAGTTACTGGCTGGCTCTGGATGCCTTGTGTGGTTTGGCTCTGGCTGCCCTGGATGCTTGGTGTTGATTGACTCTGTAGACTTGGAGTATTTTGCTGACCACAGTGCTGCTGTTCTTCACTACTCTGAGATGTAAGTGATGACTTCTCACTGAAGCTAAATCTCGGGGAATTGTCAGACGTGTTGGGAGATGACGGGCCAGCACTTGACACAGTGCTTGAGGGACCACTGCTATCTGTATTTCAGGATTCAAGAGAGACAGAAATAAGTGAAAAGCAAATAAAGAGAAAAAAAACTACTAAAAGCTGCAATATTGTATCTGTCCATGCCCTGAAGTAACCAAATCTTTCTGCAGATAAACACAATTACTTTTTCTTTGTAGTTTCTGAACAGAATATTCATCGTCAATGTTTCCCCACAATGCCTACCGTGCTTTAAACTCAAGATACAATACAAATTGCAAGATCAATGTGCCTACTTATCCAGTACTGTGCTAAAAACAAACTAAGATGAGTTTTACATCTGTATTTCACTCCCTAACACAATATTCCACCTAAAATATGCCAAATGTTTCATGTAAAATATTCCATACAAAGATGGCATTATTTTATACAAAAGGAACACTAATCCCAAATCTAACATGTACATTTTAGTCATCTTCTTGGGTACTGATGTCCCAATTCCCATTCCATCCTTTTTGTATAATGAGTCCCAATTCCCCTATCCCCATATCTAATTTTGATGTCCACACATTTGGTAGCTGAAAGCTGCACGCACAGACAGGTTGATTTACACCAAAAGCTTTGCAATTAAAAAAAGGTTACTCACACCATGCAGGTTTTTCGGAGCGAGGACGCAATGATAAGGAGGCAACCGATGAGGATAGGACTTGCTGAGGTATGTAGGCATCTACCACAGGCTGGCTACTTCCCATGGTCTCAAACATAGATGAAAGTGCTGTCAAGTAAAACAGGGAAGGCTCCGGTAATATAAATAAAATGCAGAAATCAAACAAAACCATTCACTGACTGAACCCCATTAAATAAGATAGCAGATGTCTGGCAGTAAGATACAAAGTACAGTAATTCAAATAATCAGATTTTAGTCCAAACAACACTTGGCTAGTGTTCTGAAGATATTTAGATGGTTGAAGCTTAACAGTGATATAGATTCAGAAGCACAACAAGCAGAGGTCACAAGTAAAAGTGCGTCATTTACCTGTTGATGATCCAGTGCGATTCATGCTACAAATTTTTGAAATGGACGAGAGAAATTCATCCACCTGCTTCAGGGAGAGAGAATTATGGAGTGTTTCCAGAGGGTAGATGGAAGGCACCATGGAGCATCCTTCAAAACCTAAATAAAGGAGGGAAAAGAAAAGATGACACCCAAGATGAACTAATTTCACAGAATGTAATAGTCCATCCAACTCAACAGATCTCTAATGGTTTAAACTAAAACCTATATTTTTAACCCAACTTTATAATTCTTTGATAAGACAAAGGCAGTCACTGAGCCAAACCAAAATGAGCCAGGCAAATGCAGCACATTACCTGTTGCGAGAGCCTGAATACAAAGCTGCAGGTATCACACCACCATAAGCACACCTCAAGAACAAAGCTACATTGAACTGTAGAAACGAACTTCTGAAATATCATTTGGAAGTAGCATAAAGTTACAGCCTTCGCTATCATTGACATGAGTTATCGCTGTGAAAACACACTTCCCTGCAGTGGACAAGTGGCCTCTAAAGACATTAATTGCTATCGGCAAGAAAGTAATAATAATAATCCTTGCATTTGATATAGCGCCCCATCAACTCTTTGAGATGTCTCAAAGAGCTTCACGGAATATGCTGCAAAGTGAATTGACTGTATATTTTGTGAGCGAAACAGAATGAACAATTTCTGTACCCTATGGGCAACCATAGCAAATTATGTTTCTCCTTTAAAGGTTACTTGACCTTTTTGTGAAAGCTCTGCATATCTCGAACATCTTGAATATCTAAGTTATTAGAAAGAAAAAGTTAAACCTGGCTATAGGGAAACTCCATGGATCAGACATGTGGTAAATTTAAAATATAGTCCATGAAACCCCTTTACCGCAGGCTATGTAGTTTTATTATAAATGGACACTGGTTACTTAAGGGTTCCAAATTTAAAGAATTTAGGCACATGGTTAAAAATCTATAGAGAGAAAAACCGAGAAATTATCCCCTGTAGTGGGATAGTCCCAATGATTGGCATTAACTGGCTAACACTTACTAATACTATGGTAGACAGAATTTTGAAAAGCTCACTGAGAATTAATTGTTTGGGCACCGATTCAGATAAATAGATGGTGAGGCTGGATAGAGTCTATGACCAAATCCATCAAGATTTTGTGGTTCTGTTAATTTAAATGTAACTCATATGAGGTGCAGCACTGGGTATTGCTGACATTGTGCTTTAGGAAGCCCCAAATTACATCAATTCTTCTCTTTTTTTTCTCCTCTTGATCATTATTTTGGTTCGAGAGTTTGCAAATGCTAATCTGATTAAATTGATCACTGCAAATGTGCTAATTGTTGCAATTAACATTGTTCACCGATAGGTCAGTAACGTATTCTCTATGGTTGAAGCTTGTGAATTTACTCCAAATTGGCACTGCCATTTGTAACCTTTCAGAAATTACAATTATAAATTGCAAAGCTACTTAAAGAGCTGAACGTTGCTGTTTATAGTCATCAGTTTTCTTATTAGACAGAGCAGCAAGAAAAACCCTGACATTTCTGCTAGAGAGAAGAGGGGGAGGTTTGGGATGGGTGGGGGGGGGGGGGGGAAAGAGGAAAATAAAGTGACAGATTCCAGCGCATTGAAATCAGAGGATTTTACAGCTTAAGAGGAGGCTATTTAGCCCATCATGTCAGCGCCAGCTCTCTGAAAGAGTAACTGTTTACTCCCACTTCCCTGCCTTTCTCCAAAACCTTTTATATTTTTCCTTTCCAAATATTTGTCTACATCTCTCTTAAAAGATATTATGTGAAATCACAGATCGTAAATTTCACCCTATTACTGCCTTTACCATCAGCCTATTGAATCAGTAAATGGATATTAAGTTATGATCAGGATACAATTTCTTCACTATTCAGATGTGACATTTGGGTTACTACTTTTTGTGGCAGAAAATTTGCATTGTACTTTGACCAGTTTGGGTGAGGGGCTTGGGGAAAAATATGGATCCAGAACATTAAAGTGATTCATGGCTAGAAGTCAGTTTGCCAGAAAGGAAGGAAACATTGGCAGATTCATTGAACAGCTGTGAGCACAAATGTCTGATTATGCGATTAGTGCACAAGGTAATCCTAGAAGACTATTTGTAATTAAAACCCTTGAATAATTGGCAGATTTTTTAAACCAATGACTCTTACTACAATAAAGGTCTGTTCTCATCAACTTATGGAGACAATCAAAGGACTTTAAAATCAGAGGTTCATCTCATTAGGTTTGGGCATTTCACCCGATTCAATTCCCTTGAGGTGAAGTTTTTGGTGTTGAACACAACTGATCTGAAATGCAGCATCAGATGACTTAACTCCAGGAGAAAGTCAGAACGGGATATTAACCACAAATCAGAACAGATGGTTGGGATGGTGCTATGAGAAAGTGTTACAGACTGTAATACTAACAGTAATCTTGTTGTATTAAGAGTCACAACATTTATTTGCAGGCCAGTGTGCTATTCTAGAGCATAATTCTAGAGGCAGATTCCCAGTACAGCAATATCCTGGTCTCCTTTGGACCATCAGGGAAAACTAGAAGTTATTCCAGCACAAGAAGGAGGCAGAAGGCAAATCTGAGTTTCCATTCACTAACTAGAATGGCACTGGGAGAGACACTATCAAACAGAGTGGCAATGTTTTACCACTAGAGTTTGTATCTTCCATTACAGGCAAAGATTGTCCCAGTGAATTCTTGCTTTTTTTTTTCCTCCAAAAAGCACCATACACACAACTATTGTATCAGGCTTGTTCCATCAGTTTTGCTTTATACCGGATGCCAGGGTGGGGTCCAATTTTCTTTGAAATTGCTCGCAGACATTCAAAATGGTGTCAGGTACTAACTGAGTCTGGTTAACACATTGCACATTAAGTACATTAAGTTATTCAAGTGACAAATAGAACACATATCATATTGTAAATCTCTAGATTCTATCAGAGCAAAGATTTTAAATTTGTCTGAAAAAGCAGATTTGACAAAAAGCTCTGTCCAGAAGCATTGTCCCAAATGTCCTGGTGTAGGAGGAGATGGCAGCAAGTGCAGATTGCATCCTGGGAAGCTCATCAGGAAGAACAGCCAGCCTGGGAGTGTATTACAAAGCTGTAATAATAATAATCCTTGCATTTGATATAGCACCTTATCACGTCTTCGAGACTTTCAAAGTGCTTCACATAATATACTGCAAAGTGAATTGACTGTATACTTTGTGTGCAAAATGAAGCAGCCAACCATAGCGCAGTTAAGTTCACATAAATTTTCATAAAACCATGTGAAATATATTTTGAAATTGTTGTTTGCCAGTATACTACTGTACACTAGCAAACATAGCAATTTCAAAATATAACGCAAAAAGCAAACATTGAAGTTTCCAAGACTGGTGAACCAAAGGGAAGTCCGACATATTGAGATAATGACCATGCCAGCCTGCCTCCTCAATAACAGGAATGTGTATAGCAAGTTATGACACAATCAGCAGTTGCCCAATTTTTTGCCTTCCATTGTTGCATCATTCCACTTTCGATCGCTCGTAGATGTTGATAGCAAATGAATGGGTTAGATATCTTTGGAATGTAATGGATTATTCACAATATGTCACACAATTGTATACACTGCATCAGAGTTTCAGACTTGAATATGGTTTTAATTGAACAATTTGTTCAATTTCATAGCAGGAACAAGAGGACTAGCCTAAAAGTTACATCACCCAAGTCTACATCCAACGTAATGGCTTGGCAAGTCACTTTCTCAGACAGTTTTGTTCCAGCTGTACAACTGGATTAATTTCATTGAATCAAAAGAAAAATGTGGGTAAATCAGGTTGCCTTTGCATGTCACAGATCCATTGTAGCAAAAGAACATCTAAACTTGTTCAACCTCCCATATATTCTAGTTTTATCTTTGCAACTGTTTCTCGTATTTTTCTATCAGAGATTCAATACTAAAGGCAGAAATAAGAAAGATTTTACTTAGGCAGTCATACATCAATAGGATAGCTTCACACTTGTATGGCGGACTGTAGGGCATGTTCAGAAAGTACATCACTCACCTCTTGGTGCACGCAGCCTTTCTCACTCTCCGAAATACGTATTCCTTCACATACACATAGGTAAGAGGCAGGCGATGCTTCAGGAGAAAATCACTAGGGATACTTGTCCTTTGAAAGGTTTTCACTCCGCACCACCAGTTTGCCTCCCCATGGCCCATAAATAATATACTCACCTTGTACACGGTTAATCATTTTTTGTCAAAGAGGCCAGATAATAAACATGGGGAAATACAGAAGGAGTTCACGGTTTTAATTGACCTTTTTAAAATTTTTTTTTTTAACAATTTGAATTCTCCCACCTTCCAATAATTGTAGCCGATCATAATACAAGAACCTTTTTTAAAAAAAAAATAAACCGGAGCAGGGTCAAGTGGGAAGGAAGGAAAGCAGTGTAAGTGGAAGATAAATCAGAAATTCTTCTAAGTAACTACGCGTCATAGGGAGTGATTTCTAAGTTACCATGGGAAATTCAGCAGTTTGAGGTTTAGAGGGAGGCAGAATTTTCCCACATGATAGTGGGTGTGTGGAACATACTCCATCAAAAACAGATGATGCTGTGTTAATTAACTTTAAAAAAAACTGAGCAACTAACTGGCTGGGAGATTTTAGAGATTAGTACAGGTTGAAACAGTCTATGGGATAGAACTATTTCACTGCCCCTGAGGCATGAGGAACATTGTGGTGTTAGTTTGCCTTTGGAGAATGGGAAGTATCTAAGCTATTTGCCAGCATAAAGTGCGTATCATGGAGTTGACAATAATGTCAGCAGTAGGGTTTGCCTGGAATGGTCTTTTTTTTATAATTCCATGATTCTCCTGTTCAAGCTCCCTCCATCACAGCCAATTCCAAAGAACTAAATAAAAGTACCTTGCGAGTGCCAAATTCTTAATACTTTTGAAACCAGTTGAATGGTCCTTCATCAGTATGGTGGGGAAAAGGAGAATGGAGCGCACATTCTACCAAACAATGTTTGCTGCTGAGTATCTCAGTCAAAGATGCTTCCAGCTGGCGCTCATTGGTTTACATAGAGGGAATGTACAATACGATGGTTTATGGCAATATAAAAAATGCCATGAAAATTCACTGCTACCTCGTGATAAAAATGATAGGAAATGTGAAGAAAACACACCAAGCTTATCACTTGGACCAAGACATTTCCCAGAAAGATATTACTAGAATATAAATTATGTAACAATATATATACATATAATTTATTGCACTAGCCAAAATTGATAATATCATATGCCTAACTGTAACCTAAAATGACGATGCATTTAGATAAATGACTAACTGTAAAAGAACATGAGAAATAATGGAGCTAAATATCAATATTACGATCGCAATATTTAGCAGAATAAGTACATTTATGTTCAGTATATCTTCAGGTCAAGTTTCAACAAGACTAAAAATATATACTTCAAGTAAAATACACCAATGACAAGGTCGAACAAAAACAAAATCAGTACTTTACATCGCAAAGCATTTACACTCCACAATCCTTATAAACTGTGCTAAGCTCACATCAATGCAAACTCCAATGCAAGACATGTCTGCTACAACATTTCGCAATGTGACACATGCAATCCCAAAGCCACTATGAGGGAGCCCTCTGAATCAATAGAAAAGTAAGTGATGGCAACAAAACCCGAGCAAAAAAACACACACATATCATAAACTATAAATCCACTAGCATTCCACATGCAACATTGCCTCTCAGCAGGAGAGTGCTTTTACGCAAAGTTTCAGGCATCAAATGAAAATGCACAGCAAGCCAATCAGCAATGGAGGGGGAAAGAGGGCTCAACACTTTAGAAGTGAATCGTCTCGATTGCCTGAGACATTTACCTAGCCTTCTCTCTTTCAGAAGCTGATTGACCCGTTGCGATCGCTTTTCGATCTCAGGCATTTTGAGTGGTTGTTGTTTTTTTAAAAAAAATTCTACATGAGCGGTTTCACAAATATCTAATCGAGTACACAAACATTTTTTTAGTTTTCTGCCTAAACAAAAGCTAAACCAGTTTAGTAATGTGTGATAATTCAAATTTTAAATTGACCTTTCTCTTGCTTGCAGGTCTATACTAGGATAACCTAGCCCGGCTCTTAGGCTACTATTGTTGAGGGCTAATAAGGGACTATGGGCACATTCCTGATGATTCCAGAAAGCACAAAGCATAGAGAAAATGAAAATCAGCAACCTGTGATGACATGGATGCTGCAGTGAGCAACCTCCACATTAAAAATGAGCTGCACAGTAGTTGCAGCAATAATATCATAGTTGGCGTATGAATTATTGGGGGGGAGGTAAAAGAGATGAAGAAAGGAAGAAATGGACTCCAGTCTATATACATGTAACTGTCCAGAAGTGGGTTCTGTTGCAGTTACCCTTCATTCAACATCAGCCACAGAGGCTTCTCTAAGCTATGATACATTAACAAAAAAGACAACTAATTATTTTCTTTGATAAACTGCAAAGGACTTTATTTTTGGCACCTTCTGTATATTTTATGCAATTCTTTAACAGACTGAAAAGAGAGGGGAATGATCAGTGGGTTCAGTCTTTTACAAGCAGAATGTTATGTTGGTTAATTTTGTAAAGGTTAGGGAAATAGACTAGTTTCTTAATAACTGCAGAATCAGACATTGATTAAAAGAAATAAACTTCCATTCATTTTTATTTCTGTAAAGAGTTTCAGAAAACACCAAACTACCATTTCCAACTTAGCAGCGTTAGAAACTAACCTGTAATTTGCAAAATGAACAAAACAATTCCTTAATCAGCACAGACCCACACTGACTAAAGAAGGATCGTCAATATGACCATTTCACAAGTACTGCATTTGGTTCTGTGATCTGTAAATTACTCCGGCATGCTAAGAAACAAAGGACCACTTTGTTTCCATTATCCAACTACATATCCAACTTCTAAACACATCGTCAAAAAATCAGACTTTGGGTGACAGTCTACTATGCAATACAGCTTTTGAGAGAAACAAATATCAATAAATTTTAAACGTAGCATCCAAAACGATACAATATTTAAGTTTTAATACTAGTCAACAACATGGGATTAATTTCTAGGTATGTTTAATATTGATTAACACTGATTAATATTCTAGGGAATACTGCAAATCACTAACTCAAGTTTACAATAAAATTGGCAGCATAGTGTGTCATATTTATTTATTAAACTTAGATGAATGGACAAGCCATGCTGCTTTGCTCCCATTTTGTGCTAGTTATGCCAGATTTTTGGCATTTATACAATGACAACCATTACACTTGAGAAGCAAACTTTAGCAGCCAAACCATGGTTGCCTTGGAGCTCATACACCAGCTACAGAGTTCAAAATTAAACGACTGGATAGGAGCCAATTTCTGGCAATTACACTTCATTCCTCTCCTAACCTGTGATCACTCTCCTTTTCACACAATGGTCAGGCAAACTGAGTGCACTAATACCAATGCCATACTAATATTAATAAACTATACAAAACGTCCAATATCTTTTTAAAAATCAGGCAGTAAAAAAGCTATACTTCACAAAAACATTCAGCGAGGTGATGAGGGATCCAAGAGAATCACAAAAAGATTTAAAGGGAATGTAAGGAGAAAGTGCCTTTACACAGTGGGTGGTTGGAATGTGGTATTCTCTGCCACAAACTGCAGAGGCAAAGCCCATACAGTTTAAAAGAGAATTAGACAGATGCTTGAAATTAAGTAATATTAAAGGATATGGGAAGCGACCGGGAGAGGATTAGATTAGTTGGTTCATGTGGCGAAAACCAGAGATTTAATGGGCTGAATCACCATTTATTTGCTGTGACATTCTATGATTTTATGCAACTACCTCAGTAGGTGTAGAGATCACAAATAACCCATGCTAGTGGAACTAAGGTGCTCTTTAACTTGCTCTGAGCAAAAACATGATAAGACACTTGCAGCTGACTAATTGGAAAGGTACATACACTCAGGAGAGAATATCTGTGTGGTAACTTCATTTCAAACTGTACAACTCCTTGTGTTAACAGAACAAATTTTTTTTACTTCAAAACAAAAATACAAGCAACTCCCACCTCAAAAAACTAAAATAAGAGGCAGAGTATGGGTGAACGAGATTGTTTTTGTTCAGGGCTTTTATTTTAAATAGATAGTCCTTGATCTTCGCATTTGCACTATTGCAATGCTACAATTGCTAGGATGGCGTGAAGCCAACTCGGATATAATAACAAAAGGGATTGCTTTGCTTAAATTTAAGAAACTTTTAATACCTTAAAAAATCAAAATGGATTGAAAGCAATTTTCCTCAACTTTGATGAGTTCTATTGATCTAAAGTTAAAGTTTAGGTACTGTATTTTTATGACATACCCTTCCTTTTTAAATGTGACCTAGTGTATTTGCCTGATGGTCACAAAATCACTAGCAAAGCAATCCTCGATATCCACCAATGTTTAATTTCGATCACTGTAGTGCAAAGCCTGCTGAAAAAAAGCCAGGCACAAACAACAAGAGCATTTCAACTGCTTTTACTCTAAACACTGCCAAGAATGAGTTGCAAGACTCCTGCCTCCAGACACCTCTGAGTAGCTTGCACCCAGCAGAAGAGAGAAAACGTCAGCGTTAGTATTCTTGGACAGACAACAGCACACGGTTTTACGTGCTAAAAATCAGACTTAAAAACATCAGCAGGTAAGTAAAAGCACTGAATCTGTGCCCAGAAACTATGATCATTAGATGGGTTCTCACAAAGTTCAATTTCTGTGTTTTATAAGGTTATTAATTTTCTATGTATATTTCTATAGCATGCAGAAATGTGAATAAATGACAGTACTTAAAACTGTAGACCTTGGGTGATATATAATCTGATTTTCAACCTGTAAAGTTATCTATTATATCAGAAAACATTTTATATCCAGGCTTCAAAAGCAGTCAGCAATTCTGCCTCTGTGGGAACAACAGTGGCTGCAGGCTCCTAATAGTGTATGGAGGCAAGAACAAATTTGTGTTTGGCAAAGCTCAGTGGCACATCCATATTTCCAAGCTGCAATGGCTTGAGAAATTCATTCAAAGCCAACCGTGCAGCAACAAGCACGCGATACCGTAGAGGCAGTCAAAGTCATCCTGCCCAGAGATCAGCCAGTTCTTGAAGAGGCGGAGGTGGTACGAGCACTGGTGGAGGTGCCGGGCCAAGGCACCATCAAGGGCAAAGTTCTGGGAAAAGCTGTTGTCGGCTGAACACCGTCTTAGCAACTGGGCCACGTGATGATCACCAAGCAGGTCTGGGGAGCGGGCACCAGAAGCGTACAAAATAAGACAGCAAAAGGACAGTTACCAATAAATAAAATTATAAACGTGCATCTGTAATTGGTCAAATAATCTCAGACATCAGAGGAAATAATAATGTACCACAGATATAGAGCTAGACTCAAGAACAACAACAAAATTACATTTTTATAGCACCTTGCACGTCGGGAGGATGTCCCAAAAACATGTACTTGAATTGTATCCAACTAACACATTTCTTTTTCTGGCATTCTGTTCATATTTAAACGTGGTTTGATCATTGAATCGATGAAATGCAGAGATTGGAATTGAACTAGAATCTCCAGGTGGTGGTGTGGCGTTGGGTGCAATGGCTCAGATACACAATCCTAGTAACTCAGTTTCCACAAATCATCTAAATAGTAAATCAGTCTGAGGTGAGCCTGCTACAATCACCACACTGACTGATCTTAAAAAAACTTTTAAAAAATTTGCACTACTTGAGGTTTGCACATTATTGCTGTGACCACCTGTGCTGTTAAGTATGAATATCCAGTTTCATGTGGAGATTGTTACTATGTGTGAATTAAACTCCACCATCAGTGTAGTGACTAATGTATTTCAACAGTATAGCTTATGTAATATTAAGTTCATCAACATTGATATGCCTCAAACTAAATGCCACAGCCTTATAGTTGCATCAACATCTTACCAGAGTAGACTGGCATGCACAGGAGCATTGAGCATCTGTACAACCTTGTTTTCATGGAGTGTTGACTCCACATTATGTGATGAAGTAATCTTGAAACACATTTAGTGATCAAAGGGAAAGAACTCTACTTCATCTGCCAACAATAAATTATACAAATCCAAGCAGTCTAAGAACACCTGCTGCCCAAGTTTAATCTAAATCCATCGTTTCCTCTGGGTGAGAATCAACACATTGTTTCTCACCCAGAGTAGGGACTACAAAGTTCTAAAGAGCAGATCAAACGGGCTTTATGTAAAAAAATTAGCACTGAAGCTGAAGGTAATCTCATAATTCTCATCTGGCTTTCTACTCTTGAAAGCATTTACACACTGGAGCAAAGCAAATGTGTGTAATCCTTAAGCTTGCACTGATCGATCAATGCATCTGAGGTATTTTCCACTCCCAGGACATACTGTGAATTTAGTGTATGTAGCCCAAATCCCAGGCAACTTGCACTGCAGATACTTCCAAAATATCTCAGTTAAATAACAAGGCACAAATATGAGCTCAATATTGTAGTTGAAGTTATAGTATAACCACTTGTCCAAAACATGAAGATTGGGCTACCCTGATTGATCAGTGAGTTCTGAGCCATACACACCAGACAGCTTTCGGGTTCAATTCCGATTAACACAGTCAATCTCAACCAGAACGGCACTGGGGAGTACTGGTATAACCGTTAGTTACACAAAGGGGTGGGAAGTTCCCCGTTCCTGATTGCTATCCAGTGATCCATTGCTGGAATGTGTGGAATACGTAAATGTATGCATGATTGCATTTGTGAGTGCAACTGTATCACACACACACACACAGGATGAAGTTTGTCTAAGGTGGAATAGGATGCTAAAATTTATTGTTTGGGTTTAAACAAAAATGACACCTTGAGATTATGCTACCTATGGTCCCATCACCACCACCACCTTCGACAGAGGAGGGGATGGGAGAGGAAGGAAGAAATATTTTTTCTTCTTTATAAATGTTTGGTCAGCTAGGTGTCTGACACATATGGAACTCCTTTGCTATGTTTAAGAGTATCCAAACCAAACAGAGTTCGATGCCTCCCACCTACACGTGGAAATTCTAGAAATATTTATTGGAATGGAATGAAAACTCTCTCCCTGGAGGGACCCGCCCTGTTTATCTAATTCCGGAGAGTATTAAAACCAAAATGAAAACAGTGACCCATGACCCATTTAGGATCACGCACATAAGCTGAATACCACCTTTTAGATTAAATATAGCTGTGCAATAAATATTTGAATCAATATTTCTGAACCAATTTCATTGAGAGATTAGTTCTGTTAAGTGTGTTCAAAGTGTTTGCGGTCTCTTTGGTTTAATAACTGAAAGAGAACGCAGGCAATGGCATGTTTGAGTGGATTACACTGTTTTACGTATCCACACGGAGGATCAGTGAAGAGGTTGGCTTTGCTTGAAATGAGTAAGAATAACTTATACACATTTGAAAAAGAATAGTTTCCCCTTCACTCACCAATCGACTCCCCTCCCCAAATGTGTTCAACATCTTTCTAGTTGTACTGGGCTCCATGAACACTCACGGCCAATGGAAATTGTTCATGTACGAGCCTAGACTTGACATTAGCAGAATATTTGACTTTGGGCACTCACAAACAAGCTGAATCACGCCTACACACAACTTTCACACTCGTCCTTCGAAGAGAAAGTCAACACACAGAGATCAGCAGCAGGAACGCTGGCTGATTTGTCACTCCCTAACCCAGGGGTACTGAGGTTAACTGTAGCCCTTAATGCTGAATTGTCTTGAGATCACCCAATTTGGACCAGAAAATAAAAAATATAAAACTAACTCATAAACACTTTCTTTAGTAAAATCCATTGTGTAAATCTGTTTTCAGTGAACAGATGCAGTGAAAGATGCACTGCCTGTATGCATTCCCGATGAATCAACTTATTGATGCAAAGGAAGGAGGTGACTAGAAATGCTGCCCACACCAAGGTCGCTCACCTCCCAAGAATGAGTAAAAATAAGCTAATTCTTGCTCAGTTTTCTGTTCTGTTGGGAGAGTCCTCTCCATAAATAAGGATGTCTCCATTTACTGTAATACAGTAAAACTCAAGGAAGTCATATCAGTCGGGACCATAACATTTAATGTGACTTGCTTGGAAGTCCGAGTTGCTGGCATATTATGTAAAACATAAAAAAATCTGATTTAATCAATAATCTACACTGCACGTGAATAATTTAATGCAGCTTGTAAGTGCGCATTTGGTAGTTTGTCACTGCAGCTAGTAACTGTGCATGGGAGATTCAATGCGTCTTGACCCATGCCACATGCGTATTTACCGACAAGCATTGGAATCGCATTGAATTACAGGAAATGAAGTTCTTCTGCGCATGCGGCGACAGATCAAGACTGTTTACCGCGATTCAATGCAGTTGGTAAGTGCGGGAGGAATGGAGGGTGAGTGAGTGCCGTTACGAGTTAGGAAGTGATTCATTTAAATAGTGAAAAGAAATCTAAGTGGTTTTGATAGGAAACTGAATGGAACTCGGCTGAAGGTATGACTTAGGCGTTTATACAATTTATAAAGATAAGATTTATGCAGGTTTTACTGTATGACATTCTGAAGAATCTTTCTGTGATGTATCTGATGACCTATTGCCTGGTCTGATGACTAATGATTTAAATTTTTTGCGATTCCTCCAGATTTTGCCACAGAATATCCATCATTTGTTAAGTTGCCAGTTGGTTCGACCTACGGGTACAGCCCAATAAGATCAAGCGGCTTATTGGATGGAAACATGAAATCACTGAGAGATAGACAGTTCTCTGAAGATTAAAGCAAGATAATAAAGTGAATCGGGAACTGCGAATGGTCGTCAGTCTGAATTTCAATCAGTGAAATGATTGGGCCGTGCAAACAGTCATTCTGTACTGATGGGAAGCTCTTAGAAAGGAAAACGTCATATTGAAGTGAAAAGGGTTAGAAAAGTGCCACCTTACAAAAGTATCATTGAATTCTATTCAAGTTTTTTTTTTGTTGCAGAAGAGCTGAAATACAACCTGCAATAATAACAAAGGTATCAGATCTGTAAAGGGGGGGGGGGGGGAAATCAAGAAAAGACAAAGATTGAAGTGGACATTTAAAAGATTTTTGAAAGGCGAGTGCATATTTAAAGATTAAGAAACATGCAAAAAAGATCAAAAAGTTAAGATTGTAAAGGATAATTGAAAAGAAGCAAACATACCATTAGTCGGATGCTTTGCAAACGAGACAGAAAATCTTTTAACGGCTGGCATAGATAACATTTCTGAGGAAACAAAAATGACTGAAGTTAAAACTAACATTGAAGTACTGCAATGCAAGTCTTTCAAACATAGAGCTGCCCATGTTACACAAATGGATTTTAAAATGTAAACCATTTCTTTCCTGTCAAGGCCTCTCACTTCAACGCAGTCCTCGCTCTGCTTCAGTTGTCATGCCAGGGCAGATGAGTGAGAAGATGTCTACAGTGATTGATGCTGTCCAGAGTTTGGCTGCCAGAGGACATATCCATCACGTATATAAAAAAAACAGACAACTCATCTTTCTACACATCCATCCACTCGCCCACCTTCCCATCCCACTGCAATTCAACTGCAACCCAGCATAATGCCATTTCTTTTGGACAACCAACATAGAAGAGATGAATGTTATCAGGCTGAAACAATTTAAACCTTGAATTGTATAACTTACTGCAGTTCGCAGTCAGGAGTAAATCCACATAAGATAGTTATGCCTTTATATTGCCCCTACAATACTGTGCCTACTTTTTGGCATGTTGCAGCCAATGTGGGTGCTATCAAAATACAGTGCACCAATAGGTGCCACATTAGAAGTTAGGAGTCTTGCAGTGACGACAAACTGTGTCATTAGATGTGACTGGACTGTTGTAGTTGACAGAAAAATAGGATTCCCAAAGGAGCAAGTGATTTAGGTGACACCATGCCATGGGTCACTGAAGTACCTTGTTCAAAGCAATTCTATCTCTGGCGTCCTTCAAATCCACAGTGGTGCTGCTATTATTTCAGAATTTCACCACTGGAGAGCTCAGCAATGTGAAGTCCATTCTCCAGATTCGTTGGGACACATTATGAATCAATCAGGGTGCGCACTGGTGATGATTCAACTACAGGTTGCCAAGCGGGCAGGAGGACAGGTTTCACTGATGTCTATAATAGTCACTAGCATGGTACAGCTTCCTGGGCTAGCCCAGCACAGGAACAATGTACAGAGAACCTTCTGTACTGAAACATCTACAATACTTGCAGTGAGACACATTAGAGCAAAATAAAAAAAAGAAACAGATTTTGAAGGGTACTACACTGTAACATGCATATTTGTCCTATAGGTGATGTAAACCTGGGCAAATTACCACAATCTAAAATCACCAATAAAAAAAAACATGTTGCACAATAATAAAGCCAAAACTAACAAGTGAGCATCTACCCCTATATTGCTCATCTATGAGCTAGCAGCTTTACACTATACTCCAAATGCTCTAGTCCTGGAAATGCACAAATCAGCATCTTAAAGGAATAACATGAGCTAGTACTGCATGTCCTGTATTGCACTGTTAAAGAATCACATCCAATGCACTAACCCATCTTTCCCAAAACAGACATGCTGGAAATCTACAGCAGCTCAATCAGCATCTTTTTATTTTCTATCTAAAGGTTGAGAAAATCTATACAAAGCAAAGCTATAATGTATACTCACAAAATTCTAGTCTAGCCCGGAAAATTCTGTGACCTTCAATCTGCCTCCAGTTCCCTATTCCACAACGAGACTGGATTATAGCCATTATTATAACATAGGTCACTCAGATGCACTTTCAAATTCAACTTGCATTCTTAGAGGGGATCTTAAACTGCAAAATCCTGTCAGGGATTAGTGTCATTTGGATGGTCAATCAAAATGTTTCAAATATATATCCATCTACATTAACATTTCTCTATTTATTGTGTCAGACGAATTGCTTTGAAGTGAGTCTATGCATTGCTGAAGCTTAAATCCATTTAAATTAATCCTCATTTCTCTGGGAACATAGGTCTCACCTCTCACTGCTGCAAATCCTTATAACATTGTTCGACATTTGGTGCGCAGCAATTTTTGAATTCATCAAAAAGCTTTACTTGAACTTGAAGAAAAGCAAATTTAAAACAGAAATAAACATTTTTTGCAAAAGTGGAACATTGAAACTAGAATTTAACCCAAGTGACTAGAAACAGTGTAAAACAGGCAATAGGTTCAGAGTTAGAGAGGTTCAAGGTGCAAGTAACACACCATTACTTGCACCTTGCTTGGCTGCTTATTATTTTTCAGTTCTCGCTGGGAGAACTTGCTCCAAGGCAACAAGTTTTCCCAGGTTATTCCCTGTTCGAATATTCAGGTATCTGGTTTGGTTTAGCTAACAGCACTCTCACATCTGGTTCAGATGGTTGTGGTTCAAGCCCATGTTGAGATTTGAGCTCACCATTTAGAGAGAGATTCCAGTACTAGGGAAGCATTGCAGTCTTGGAGGTGCTGTCCTTCTGATGAGACTTTTCTCCTGGTGTCCTGACCGACAATCCTTCAAGTAAATTGTTCATTTAATTCGTGGATGTTTGTGGAACCTTCCTGTGTGCAAACTGGCTGCAGCATTTGCCTATAAAAAGTTACTGAGCTTGACAGTAATTAATTTGATTTGATAAGGCACTATAAAAAACAAGTCCTATCTAACCCAGGCAAAGTCAGATAATGTTGCAGTTACTACTATATCGTGAGGTTCAGACATGGAACATGCAACCTATAATTTATTAAGGCCATGAGCATGTTTTAACCAACTGTGAAACAGAATACAAGCCACATCTTTTCAGATCCTAGTGTCAAACAACCATTCAACACTTTTCATATTAAACTTATCTTATCCTACTATTGCCAAAGGCTGGCAAAGTATTGGTTGATTCTTTCCCTCTCACACGGTTGCTTGGCTCAGACACATCAGCTGCAAGGATAGGTAAACAAGTCACACGTCACTGGCAGTCATGTCCAAAATGTCAGCTCATTCAAAACAGCAGGAGAAGGAAGGGAAAATGCAACATAAATAAATCCTTTTCTAAAAACACCTGAATTTTAAAAAATCAATCAATCAATCACACAAGAGATGTAGCTATGTTATCGACCCTGGTGCAGTCGTTTCAATCCTCAGTTATTACACCCGCCTTATGACAAGGGCTTATTAAAATCAGGTATCATTTACAAAATGTTGATTTCTTTATAAAACATAGTATTAGCGCACCAACATTTTCCAGGAAAAGCCAGGTACAATCTGACCACAACCAAAAATGCAGATCCCCATTTCACCTGTCCTACTGCTCTCAGTCTGACCAACATATACTCAAACCCTAAAATACAGCTTTCTGCTCAATTAACAAAAGCAACAGGAAAATGGTATGAAAATAGTTGTGCGCAAAATAAAACTATTACAATTTCACAAGAATATAACTGGAGTCATATATTAGGCAGAAATTAATACAGGTTCGGATACAGCACACACTTGTATACATGAAAACCCCAAAGTCATGTCCTTTGTCAGAATAATAGAATACATCCAGACATCCATACATCAGTATGCCAGACACAGCCATGGTGTTCTCTCCCACTGAAATTAATGTGAATAAACAGACTAAATATCTTCCTGCGACACACTTTCGGGTGTGCTTACATTGAAATTCAGGGGGAATTAAGGTGGCAAGAAAATTATGCTTTCCGTAGGGACAAATGCACCTCTATTGTATAGAACAAAGTGAGCCAACGTAAGGCATGTGAGTGATTAATACTGAACCAGTCAGTGTCATTATTTAGATACCTACACAACATATAATGCCAGATTGCTAATTTAACTCCATTGAATGTATTAAAACCACAGCAGAGTAAAGCCAATTGAACAGCAGCTTAGTCTGTCTGTGATCAAGATGGGAAAAATAGTCTTTCAAAGTTATAAAAAACAACCATTTTGCTTATTTTAAATTTAATTTTTAAAAGCTGCAACTATTTTGCTAAAGGTTGCAAATAATTATTGGAAAATAATTTATACCAGCAAACCCATGCTAAATACTCTGGGTGTAAGAATTTCAACACTGAAATTTGTCTTGAAACTATAAGACTCAAAGACTTAAAATGGAATTGGATAGGTATTTGAAGAGAAATAAAATAAAAAGGATATGGAGAAAAAGCTGGGATTTGTTATTGGATAATAGGCTTGAGCTAGAAGTATTCCCGCCATGCTGTTACTTATACAATTAACATTTATTGTTAAACGTTAAGGATTTTCCTCCTTGACAGCCAATTTTGAACATTATCTTGGAAAATAAAGGTCAATCTTTCTGGCCCTGTGCAGTTGGCAACAGAATTGATTTGCACTTCTCTGATAATGGCTATTTACTGCCAACACATATATATGGTTCATTTAGTGCATATATCTTTCAAACTAGAAAAGAGAACAGAAGTGGTAAAAAGCTAAACCTTCTGCTGCTAATCATATGGTTTTTCAAATAAACTGCACACAAATTATGCAACTCTCCCCACCTTTTCCCCTCGGATTCTGTGTGCAATATTACAGGGACCGACAGTTTGCAACATTTTAATAATTAATAAAATTGACTATCAAATATGTGCCTAATTTTTTTTAAAAAAACATCAAAAAATAATCAAATAAAATATTTTATATTTGAGCTAAATAAGAATAGGATGAAGATGAAAAAAATGTACTGGCATTTTGCTAGCCAGCAAGTGTTCATTTGTTTAAGCCACGCGCTTGTTGAGTTCACGTTGATTCTCCATAACAAGAAAAAGCAGCCATGATTCTGGGAGCTGGGAAAGGACTGCAGAAAACCAACTTCCAAATGAGTGAATTTAAGAAAATTCCATAATTCTGTGCAATCTTAATTAATTTTAAACCAGGAGTTTGAATTCTGATCACCATGGAATGGTCCTAGCCGGAAGGCATGTGGATTTGGAGGAGAGGAACTTGCTTGGTTATGATGAGGCATCCAATGGTTATCTATTTCCTAACACACACCATCCAGGCAGACATGACAACTGGCCATAGAGGGTTGGTTGGTGACCATAAAGCCACAACCCTAACATAATTTAGAAGAAGTAGATGCACATTCTAATGTGCAGTCTATTCAATCAAACATTACAATACAATGGCAGTGCTTCTGTCATAAAATCAGATGGTTTTGAATGACATTTTCACCATTCCATTTTATTTCAATAAACATTTTGCAATGGTTGCGGTTCTGGTATGAATAGCAATGAGTTACCCCTGAGCAATTAATCATTAAACAATTAACCTAATTATTATGCAACTGTGGTAGACACAAGGCACTGAATTTCTCCACACAAAATTCAGCATATTTTCCAGATAGAGAGCTCATACGACACCTTATCTTTGTTGTTCGTTTTTCATGAGACAATTTATTTCTGCGAGGTGCTCACTGACTTGCTCCACTATGATAAAATTAGTCTCAGATTTAGGATATCTTATACAAATTATAGCTAACAGGAATGCGATGAGGTATATCTGAAGGTCATAATACCTCAGGAGTTTGAATATTCATAAAGAGTCTTTGTAGGTTACTTCTAAGTATCTACTTTACAATGGGTGTTATGGGTAGTTATATAGGGTTTGATGATCTTTAAAAAAAATGGCAGTCAGGCACTTTTATGCTGCAACACTTTAATCTCCTCATAATAATACGTTTCTACTGAAAAATACCAATCTGATGGAAAGGCCAGAGGTGACCCAGGCTAATTGCTTGAAGTAATGAGGACTAGGCAACTAAAGAACAATTCCAAGGAACCTACCATCTTTCTGGGAAAAATAGCTGGAACCACTCAGCTTTTTGCGATGAGAACGGGCGTAGTCCTGCAGGTTAGGGGCACTTGATGACCCACCAAGTACTGTAGTACTGAACAAACCAGCACACTGGGAACCTGTGCATGAGAGGGTTAGGTATTAGGATTAAAAAAAGTGGCTTAGTAACAACTCCTCATGCTGCATGCATTTATAACTGCAATTATTATATGCATGGCACTTAGAGATATCGTGAAGGGGAAAACATCTGGAAATATTGCAGACTTAATGTCTGGATTCTGGGTTCCTACTAGGATTTTAAAGAATGTTCCAAGACTTACAGGAGTCTAAAACTGCAAGTCCCTTTGCCTAGGATCTAGCCCAATCAAAGCTTTTACATGTTTTGTACTGTGAAGTGAATTTCGTTACCATATGGATTAAGCTTGAGGATATATTAATATAGACTTTTCCACTATGGCGGCTCTCTCTTATCTGGATTCAGTCCTCTGCTTCCCCCTACCTGCTGCTCCAAATGTTTTCTCCTTTGAAAATGGAAATGTGATGCACTACAATGCCCGCAGATTACATTTAGTTTAACGGAAACCCTATCTGAAAAAGAAACAATTAATCCTCTAAAGACTAGTTATATTTAAAGCAGACAATATCACATTTCAATTGACACCCATATCATCAGAAATTCAAAGAAATAATGTTATAATAATAATCCCTCTGGCATTTGGTATTGCACGTTCCATGTCGGGAAGACAATGTTTCACATTGTACATTTGTAATTGTGCATTACAGCGCTCTTTACTGAAAATTCAAAGAAAACAATTCTGTGGGTTACTAAATATAAATCTTCTTGAGCCTCATGCTTAAAAAAACAACAAATTACATTTGTATAGCGCCTTTCAAGTCGGAAAGACGTTCCAAGGCGCTGCTTAGTATTCAAAGGGTTAATAACTTAAAAAGTAGTTCAACTTGTTTTTTATTAAGATGAAACTAATATCAAGCAAAAAAAAANCAACTCAACTCTGGCCAGTACTATCTTGACTTTTAGCCATATTCCTCAATTTAACTTGAGGAACAAAATTTGATCTAGCCAGATAGGAATAATGGATACGATAGCAATACATGTGCCACGAAAAACAATATGCCTTTGGGAGCTGCTTTAGGGTATGATGCAAGTAAAGGCATCATGTGTGAGTAACTAATAGCTACCTCATTAGAATTTTTCTTTCCTCTCCCCCTCCCCCAATCAGAGGTTTCCAAATCGCATTACAAACATGCTGCAGTAGTTTCAGTCTCAACAACAGTCAGAGGTACAACACTTGGATGAATGAGGAACATGACTAGTGGTGTAACCATCTGGGCTCCACTAACAGAACAAAAATGGGGGCAACATGGGAAACATGGACCAAGTTACTTCTTGAATAAAATATTCTCTTAAATAAAAAGCGTTGAGTTCAAGCACGAGTCAATATCAATAACATAAATTCATTCATCTCCTGAAAGTTTTACATTCTACTCTACTGTGTTCACATGAGGAATGAGATCATCGGTTAGTTCAAGACACTCTGAAGACTATTATTTTACTGTTCAATTTTTTTCCCCAAAGAAGCAGAACCAAGTATTTTCTACTTACTTCAAACAGCCCGTGTAAGCTAAAGAATATTTGGTTATGAGTAAAAGTTAGCCATGCTGTGTTAGTGTTTGATAAGCAGAAGCTTCCAGTGTAATTTCAGCCAAAATGGATTTAACAGGAATTCTCCTATGGGTTTACTTGAAACCTTTGCACAATCTAGCATTTCTACATTTAAGCAAAGCAAACACTGAACTGTTCCAATGACCTGAGATACCTAAAATTCAAGCAGTGGGGAAGAGCACTTATTCTGACTGTATTGGCGATTCTAGTTTCCATCTGTCAGACATGGTTTTCTCTCTCTCTTTCCACAAGTGAAAGAGTGCCAGAAAAACTATACAATACAGAGATCAGATAAAGCTGAAAAAAACGGATTTATGAGTAACTTAATTAAATGCGTTGTTTTAAAAAAAACTTATGAGCTCATCAAAAGAATATTGGGATCTAACACACATTGATTACCACAATTGGTGATTTATTTCACCAAATCTTTAGAGGGTAAATTACCATAATAAAGATTTGTTTTGATAAAAGGCACAATTTTTCAAGATAAATACTTTAGGTGCCAGTGTTCAGAAATGAAATGTTTAAAACCATCCTTGGTATGTTGGATGCACCCTGTAATGCTCTGGTTGGAAAGAACCAAGGTTTGGAAACCAGAATATGTGTTGGGGTATTGCTGGAGTCTAACCAGCTAAAACCGCACAGCTTGCCATTGAGAGCACCATCTGGCAAGCTTTCCTGCTGTTTGTCGGATTACCCTACCTGTTAGGGTTTTGGTTGCAGGGTTAATTGGAGCCGATTGTGAAGAGTCCCTGCCCCCAGTGACTGGGCTGCGCTTCCATGTCCTGCCGATCAGCCAGCCTGGCTGTGTTGTCATCAGCAGTGCCCTGGAGTACTGCGGATCTGCCTGGCTCAGGAACAAGACTATCGAGACCGCCACAGAAGGTTGGCTCGATTCTGACATTCTGTTGCCAAACATGTCACCTTGGAGCCAAATCAGTTCCAAGTGGTAACCGCTTACCTGCCCCCCACCCCAAAAAAGGAGGATAGTAACTAGTTGGTCGTAATGGAATGACATCTCAACAGGTTTTGAAGAGGTGGACAAAGAGATGGGGAGAGGAGGGGAAGGAAACACCCAATAAAATCTTGAAATAAGATTTTATTATTTCAATGAGAAAGACTGGCAAAATTTGAAGAAAATCACTTTGGATTTGACTGTGGAAAAAAGGTCCATGAACGATACACCAGACAATTTGAACAGACAGCTGCAAACGTCCAAAACAGAAATAGGCATTTTGCTTAGAATTTCATGCTCGTCTTGCATTCTCTGTCCATTTCCCCTGAAGGCTCCTCACTAAAGTAAAAAAAATGCCCAAAAGGTGATGCTCTTGAATTTAAACACGACCACATTTCATTACTTCTTGTCAATGAATGGCTGCAACATGCAATCAACTCAACACGAGGAGCCATAGATGATGACATTCAGAGGAGAAGCCATAAAAACAGGAGTATAATTTGGGAATCAAATGTCACTCTATTAAGATTTTAATAATATCCTGAATGCAAACCATTAACTATTAATAAGTCTCGGTAAGAAATTAAATTACAGTTTGGAAGTGCCAATTCCTCAATCCTCCAACATCAAAGCATTAGTCTGCGCAGGTATGAATCACGTTGCTCCTTCAGTGGCATCAGGAACATTGTGTACTGCATGTATCTCGGTTTATAATGCGTGTGTTGTAGGAGCAAAAAAAAACCCACTGCTGAATCACACCAAATCTGCAGTATATATGATCATTAAACGTGGTGCAATAATTTTTTCCAAGTAGTTTTATAATGGAATAAAGCCTCTTTGCAAATGGCTGCGTTTAGCAGTTCAGTTTTGAATAGTACGCTCGCTATCCAGTGTATTTCATGCAAAGAGAGTCGGAGGCAAAAGCAGTGATACTGCCCAACAAAATACTTTTCCTGTCTAATTGTCTACCTTTGCTTTCTGTGTCTGTCTCTTTCTTGGTGACGGGGATGAGCCAACAATGTAAACACATATGGTGGCTCTTAAGCAATCATAGCAGCTTAAAATAAAAGAATGGCACTACAGGAAAAGGAGATGGGCTTATGGAACAGTGTTGGTCAGTGTAGGGAGGCAACAATCCAAAAAGAAAATAGTGATTTAGTGGAAAAACAGCAGCCAGTGAAAGTTCTCAGAATTCGGCACATATTGTGGAAACAAACCAGGAGACAAAATAAGTAAAGAGTGACCCAAGCCTGATGCGAGTAATGAGTGATCCTGATACTTATTAGAACAAGAGAGCTGAATAGATGTGGCGCTATTGTATTGGGCCTCCTTTGTTGCAGCATTTAACCCTGGAAATGTTTATGCTTAAGGGAACATAAAAAGTTAGTGTTAAAGGTCAGAATTGTGCACGCACAGTGGAATCATTGGCTATTATTGGAAGGGGCTGTGATTCTTGTGGTAACTGAAGTCTCTTACCCAAACCACTTTGCTTCATCTCAGTGGATTGTCTGGAATATAGAGGCACCAGAAGACGACATCCACCAGGTTTGGTTGAACTTTCAGATAATAACTGCAACGACAAAATATTTTACTTGAATGAAGTCGGTCAGATCCAAGGCATCAGTAATAGTTCACAAAACCATTTACTCCACAGCCTTGCACACTCAAAAAAAAAAAAAAATTGCTGATACAACATCTCAGCCACCTTTCTCATCTCTGTTCACCTAGCGATAAGTAGGAACCCGGTTGTTAGTCAATTAGCGGACCACTTTCCAGGGAGTAATAATCCGTTCATAAAAATAAAATAATAACTTGGTCACTTAATCCACAACTGTTTTGGGATATTACTGTGTGCAATTGACTGCTGTGTTACGACAGTCAATTCACTTTACAGTATATTCTGTGAAGCACTTTGAGACGGCTCAAAGATGTAATAAGGCGTTATATCAAATGCAAGAATCATTATTATTATAATAAAATGTGTGACAGACTTTCACAGACAAAAAAAAGTGTTGGAACCCGAGTTTATCCTATTGACTCTACTGGAAAATAAACCAAACCTATTTGAAACCCAGAGTGCTAGATTACCAGTCTCCTATTGGTAAGAATAATGCCAGGCTGCTGTTTTTTCCTGCCATTTTGAATCTCAAATGTACGTGGATAAGGAATGCCTGGCATGTACAACACAGAGCAATGGCACTATGGACAGACAGCTCTCTATGGCTCTTCGTAACCCATAAAAATGAGGGACTGACAACACCATACTGGGAAAGAGGTAAATGGTCGTAGGGAAACGTAAAATAGAATAAATAGAATAAAATAGATCTTGCAAAGTTGATGGCAATTTACAAAAACATTTCCCCAAAAGTTTGAAAACTGATGAGTGGCAGACGGAGTGGGAAAAAGAAACTCAGTTTGGAAACTTGGGAGCAGGAAGAAAACTAACAGGAAGTGTACTATGATTTGGGTTAATTTTTCTAATTCTGCAATAAAAGAAAATCCTGCAAAGAAACAATAGAGAAGATAATCCTCGAATAATGGCATACAAGCTGACCAACGGACCCATGCAGGTTAATGCCGTTACTTTGACATAAGGGTTGAGGCAGGAATCAAACCAAGACACATGCGGTAATAAACAAAAAGGAATTTAGGGCAGGTTCAATATAGGGCAACTCCCTAAGGCACTTCTTAATTTCAGAAGATTATTCTCTACTTTATTAGTGTGACATAACCATTTACCACCCAAGCTCTCTTTGTGACTTCTGAATAACACTCGATTACTATTATAGAAGTGAGCAGTTTATGCCATCAACTCACCCTCAGGAATTGGATTAAACCTGCCCAAACTAATTTACGCAATGTTCTGGACTGCCAGGGGTTCCCAATCCTAATAACTAATAATACACCTAACATTAATACAGTAGCACCTAATAACTAACACTTGCTGACCCATCCTGACAACGTTTAGCAAAGTGTCAAGAGTGAAACAAACAAAAATGCTACTCCCTCTGAATTCTAATTAAGATGATATCGCAAATGTATCCAGGTATTACATGAAAGATGTCAAAGCAACAGGAAGTTTGCGTACACAAAATTCACCTCACCTCTAATCTCATTATGTAAAGCATTTTAAGAAGTTTATTTACTTGAAACTTGCAGTATATAAGCAAGTCATTTATCAACAGACGCAATAATCATGTGTTTGAATTACCTGAAGCAAGCATCTTCTTGCACTGAGAAATATGGTTCTGTGTGTCGGGCATAGTGTACGTCCAATCCAAGCTGAATTATCCAAGCAATGTGCAATGAACTAAATTCATTCCATAATTGCAGGATAATTAACAGTTCAGATAGGTGCAACAACCAGGGTTACATATCTGAAATCTACCACACTTCTAGGTAAATAACATGAGCAAGACACTCAAATGGTTATCTCCAAGATGCAAAAAAAACTCATGGATTTACAGTAACCCCTTGCTAAAATGCTCACACAAGAACCATTTTCTAGCAAGAAGTCGAATTGGATTGTGATGATGGGAAACTTTATTCAGGACGGGAGAGAGCAACGAGTCAACCAGGACCATTGTAACTTATGAGCTTTATAGTGAGGGGTCACTGTATCATGAAAAGGTGGATGGGAAGGGTAAATAAAATGCAAAACCTGCTGCCATGAAGGTATATTACTGGAAGGGACAGCCAAAGATTGCTGTGGTTCGCCTGATCTGCATCTACGGCGGGCCACGTGAGAGCCAGTCACCCAGTTCATCCACGTTTCACTAGACTCGGGATTTGACATACTCTTAGTGTCGACTCCCTGAAATAACATAAGGATAGAACATCAAATGTTTTGATTTAAAATAGTAACAGGACAGTGCCAATCTCAGAGGAATGGACTCCAACCCGATTAGAGGTTACAAATATAGTTTGGGCATAACTAGATAATATCGGAGTAAAATTTGCAGTATATCATAATGCATTCCTGGACAATTAGATAATATTCGCTCCTTGATATTCTCCACCTCACTACCAAAATTGGACTCCACATGCTGGATATCTGTGAGTACAGCACAACAAGAAATCAACTGAACTGACAGGTTACTATTCTGCTGGACTCAAAATCTACTTTAGGATGGCAGAAGGGATAAAGCCCTGGCACATCAACATTCAAGATTTCATCAAGAGGTCTGGAACTGGTGCAGAGAGCGGATCTGAATGAAACGAGGCGAGAGAGTGTGGTATTCAATGTCAAACCATGACATTTGCAGCATTTCATAATTCTCTTTTTGAGATCATTATCATGAATGTGTTCTGAGGTGCCACAAATTTCTAATGCCCAAGGAAACCTCAAGTCTGATTTGGGCAGACATTGATAATTTGGGGGGGTGGGGGGCACTAGGATCTTAACTAATTCGATAGACAATCGTAATGGTTAGGACAGTATGGTGGGGATTCTGAAAGGATAAGATAGTCCATTGGGCCTCCTCCATCTGAATCTCTCACATAATCTTATGAGGTGCATGCAAATGTTTTATTGTTTCCATTTGGTTCAGTGAGTGACACTGGCCTCTGGATTAGAGGATTTAAACCTCAGTCCAGTAATGTGGGAGTACTGCATTTGTTGGGAGGGCCAGTCTGCCTGTTCAGGTGGACAGTAAAGATTCCATAAGAAATACACAACATATTTTCTCCTTGCTGTTGGATTTGGTGTGTATATTTCAATCTAGAAAGTAATTGGTGCAGACTTCACGCAATGCAGCCAAACCTTCCTTCCCAACAGAAAGACAACGGTTTGCTGTCAGACGTTGGATTCATGCAACTGGAAAATCTGGCGTTGGCTATCACGTCTTGAATTATCTATGGAGTTGAAGGAGATTTTAATTTGGTCCAATAAATCAAACACATCATGCTGGTGTGAAAAGAGCTCAGCTGTAACAATAGAATCATACAGCACAGAAGGAGGCCATTCGGCTCATCGTGCCTGTGCCAGCTCTTTGAAAAGAGCTACCCAAATCAACCCACTCCCCATTTGTATTCTCCCCAAATAACTATTTACTTCTCTCTTAAAAGTTGTTATCAAATCGGCTTCCACTACCCTTTCAGGCAATGCATTCCAGATCTGAACAACTCGCTGTGCGAAACAAATTCTCCTCACCTCTGTTTTTTTTAACAATTATTTTAAATCGGTGTTCCCTGGTTACTGACCCACCCGCCAGTGGAAATAGTTTTTCTTTGTTCACCCTATCGAATCCCCTCATAAGCTTGAAAACCTGAGGGGATTGCAGGAATAGTTGTAGGAATGGCCTTCCAACACCTGACAATCATTTCAAACCCATTGATCCCACTGTACAACAGGAAAATCTTTAAATCATACTTCAAAACTCCTTTCCAAAAACATCTCAACCACTGGAGAAGTCACTGGGTGATTTGATCTTCCCAACTTCCTAGCTCAATGCTAAAACTCCAATTACAACAACAACAAATTACACTGTTTAGCGCCTTTCACGTCAGGAGGACGTCCCAAGGCGCTAGACAGTCAGGGATCCGCACCCATCCTGGTGGTTGGGATCATGAGGGATGGAGGGAGGGGAGGTAGGGGTATGAGGATGACCGAAGGCACAATCAAAGAGGAGGGTCTTGAGACGGGTCTTGAAGGAGGCAAAGGAGGGGCCGAGACGGAGGGACTGTGGGATGGAGTTCCAGAGGGTGGGGTCAAAGAGGCTGAAGACAACACACAAACGAACATCACAGCTGACTCAACACAGATTGGGGATCAAATACGGGGTGACCTGGTCTGCCAGGCTCAGTATTACACCAGGTGAAGCAATTAACTACTGCCATCAGGAGACACTTTGATTCACATATCTAATATCTATCCCCTCCTCCCTCCAATGTATAGCCATTGATATGGGTACGTTGTAAAATCAGAGTTGATGTGATTCTGATGTCTTTGTTAGACATATATAAGTACTCTGCAGGAGACACCAGTTTCCTAAGGCTCACAGTATCACTTTATGCCAGTTTACAACAGTCAGCATTTAACATTGGCAGAAGTTGAACTCTGTACAGATTATATGGAACAAATTGTAATTGTTCCTCAAAAGTAACCAAGTAAATCAGCACCCAACAGGTGCCTCTTTTCCCATTTAATATACATTTCTTTTGATCTTTGCTTTAGGACCACAAACAGTTGAACCTCACCTTTATTACTACACCACTTTAATACAATTGTTGACTTATTTGTATGTGAATCAGCACTGTATTAAATCTTCCTATTGTTTACCTCCATGGAGCCCATCTTCCTGGTTTTGGTCAATGCAGGTCTCCGGTGAATGTGGAAGGGCTCAATCGCCTGAGGGAAGTTTGGAAGGAATCTGTCTACCTCTTCATTGCTCCTGGTCTCTGAGAGATCTTCCATACTTCCCTGATCAGTTTTTGAGCCACCTTCATTCTGCCAGGGAAACAAACAGCACAAAAACAAAGAGAACAGCTTAAGTTTTTCAAGTGTAAGCATTTGAATTTGTAAAATGATACTTTAGAGGTTTGATCTATGGGGTTGAAACAGATGCTTTTGCAAATCAGAATTCGCAGAAACCTTAAGGCAAAATGGCAGCATTTCATGGAGTTATTTATAAAGCTTTAATAAGTTGGTCAAAAAAAGTTTCCCTTTCAGTGGATTTTTGTTTTTCTTTTTCAGACGTATAAATTATTTCTCTTCCCCACTGCCCAATCTATTACTTACCTCTGCTGATGCTGGACGAAATCCAGAACCTGTGGGAGCGTTTTCATCTTCTTCACAACCTTTCGCTCCAGGACTGAAATGGAACTCCACATGAAAACGCTCTTCAGAAGACGGATCCTGAGAGTGAAATAATCAGAGCCATTCATAAGTTACAGGTAACATGCATGTTAATGATGGTTAGGTGGGGAATGGAGAAAAATAACAATACTATTAGCATGGCTTGTTGAAGCGACTTTTCTTTCTACCCTGAAATAGCAGAAACAGTGTACACCAATACTTCTCAAAAAGTGCCATCAGGCTGTGTGTACTGAAAATGTAATCTAAAAGGAACAAGAAATGATCCCAAGAACTACAAATGTACATTCTAACATGATTTGATTGGTATGAATGAATAAACGTCTTTCCCTCTCTCAGACCAAAGCCACATTAATTTAGTGAAAGGAATGGAAGATTAGAAACTTATGGAAGTGAAATCATCAACTGAAGACAAGAACTGACCTCTGATTGCATGGAATTCAAGGAACATGTTAGAAGCTAAACTTTAAACTGTTCTCATTTACATGAATGAGTGATTGATGTACAATTGTAACTTTTTAAAATTGATTTTTCTGCTAACTTTTGGATTTTAATCTCACATAGGTAACAGCTAACTAATTTATCAGCAGGATCATTGAACAAGCAGTCACTCAACTTGTGAGTTTTAATCGCATCCCATGACAATGTATCAGTCTAATGAATGTTTTACTGATTCATTGCACATTCTGTCATTCCATTACAACAGCTTGCACTTACATCCTCGACAGACATAACCAAGCAAGAGAAATGGGAGATTTAAGGATGTTGACTTAAAACACTGGCCTAAGAGCCCTGTAGCTCAGTGGTTAAAGCACTCGCCTCTCAAGCGAGAGATCTTAGGTTTGATTCCCAGCAGGGCAAGTTTCCTTACTCCACACGCCTCTGTTTGCCTAGCAGTAAGTAGAAACCTAGTTGTTTATCGATTAACGGATCGCTTTCCGGGGGTAATAAATACTTCCAAAAAATAAATAAATTGGTCACTCAATCCATGACTGTTTGTGGGGTATTGCTGTGAGCAATTGGCTGCTGTGTTAAATATACAGTCCACAATCGCCCACAAAATATACAGTGAATGTACTTTACAGTATATTCCGTGAAGCGCTTTGAGACGTCTCAAAGACGTGATAAAGCGCTATATCAAATGCAAGGATTATTATTATCATATTGTCAAAGTTATATATTTTAAGAGGGATCATGCTTTCAGAACTAAACAATTTGAGCGCATAGTTTCTGTAAACAATTTTGTTTAAAAATAATCCAGGTTTACTCCCATTATGGAAATTTCCACGACATTCATTCCTCATTTACTCATCATGACGCATTAAATTACAGCACATGGCCCAATCTATCCTTTGTACATGGCACAGTATCAAATATTTTACTCTTAGTGATTTATGGAGGATGTGGAGTTAAGTTGTTGCCAATTTTGGTACTTGAATAGCAGAAGAAACCTGCAATTTCTGTATCTATAAAGTCTTTCTTCTAAATTTAAACGCTGTCTATGACTGCTTAAATATAATCCACTTAAGTTTACAGTATGTTAATTTTTGACATGCCATTAAGGCTACATAATAAAATAATCAGACTCTGCTTATTACATAAAATCACAGAGTTCCAAGCATAGACTACTAAAATGTATGCTGTCCAAGTTAATTTAGGGGTGCTATTAGTTACTTTACCTAATGCAGAATATAGGTAGTTTTTTTAAAATGTAGGCTATGCCATCTTAATAAATATGATGGCACATTCATATTTTATTGATACGATGAATACCTTATTATTATCCTCATACAACATAATAACAATCTGGGTCATGTAGTTTAGTTCCGAGACAGCTCCAAGATAGTCCATGGCTCTTTTCCATTGCTGATCCTTCAGTTCCTGAGAATTCAAGAAGAAAATGTATCAATTCAGACCAGGAAAAATTCAGTTCATCCAAATGAAAGTTCTCTCTTGGAAATGTTGCACACTTTGATACCGACTGTACAAAGCTTGCTGCTCTTTTTGTGAAAGCAGATCATTAAAATTAAAGTTCACATTAACCTAAAGGTATTCTGACTTGCTCTCTCTCTCCTCGTTCAAGACCCGCCTCAAGACATTAACAACTTGCACTTATATAGCGCCCTCCACGCCGGGTAGCGTCTCAAAGAGATACCTCTTTGACCATACTTTTGGTCATCTTTCCCCTCCCACCCCTTCAGCTCTCATCTCCACCTTGTGTGCCCGGCCAACTTTGTTAACTATATTCATAACTCTATTGATTGTCATCGGTGAACCAAACTATGGGGGCTTGGTTCCTCACCTAGGTTTCCCAAGAGTTTTGCTTAGTTTTTCGTGCAGTTAGCATTGTAATTTAAAAATATTACTTACATCTAAAAGACCAGCGTAACGAAAAAGGCTTAGCAAAGAATGGACGTGGCTTTCGCTTGTAAAATATAACCGTGTTCGGACATGGCGGCCAGGAGACATGACTCCTCTGGAATACCTGAAAAAAAGTAAAAGCTAATTAGATGACTAAGATACCAAATCTGCTTTGAGTCATTGTTTTCCTTCCCCCACTGACTTCCACTCCCACTGTAGTGCCTGAATCATTTTGCCTGAACAACTGTGTGGTTCACTCCAACACTTAGACAAACTGAAATGGAACCAGTACTGGTGGCCGGTGTGTTAAAGATGACATTATGCCGTGCTGTAGTGTGGGAGGGGGCGTACAAAAGAAAAAAAAGGTTTTGCCAATTGATCTAATGTTGCAGTGGGGAAGCAACCATCAGAAGGCAGAATCCCCAAACTACCCTCATTCCTGTTGTCAAGTTCAATGACATTGGCGCAATGGTGTATGTGCTTACAGCCATACAGAGCATAACTTCTGCAGATATCACAAGATCAATTCTGGGATCTGAAAGCAGCAAAGACCATTCAACCTTCAAACCCTAAAAGCAGTCTTACAGCGGGTGAAGTTTATTCACAGATTCATCCTCATGTGTTCGCTGTAAATCCAGCTGCATCTTCTCAATCAGTGGCTGGCAGTAAGCATAGGCGATATCCAGCTTCTCCTCTTTGCCAATTCCATATTCCTAAGAAAAGCATACCAGACTAAGTGTTTGCAGTATAACCTTGCATACAAGAGACTGAACTTCACAAATTCGAGTTTAGTCTAGACAGAAAGAAATCCTGCCTCAAAGGCTGGTTTCATGTTGATACCAATTTGAAGGCAGCAGGGATTAAGCAATCAGAAAACTTTGAAGAAATATCTGTATCCAAGTTGCTCTTCTCTCCTTTATGAAAATGAACGGATATTTGTGAAATTCTCCTTATTGCAATATACCCCCGTAGACATTTGTTTATGTGCTAGGACCAGGTGCTATGTGTAAGGAAGCATTGAGAGCAAAAACAGAAACTTAAGACAGAGGCAGTACAAAATCCAATACAAAATTATATTTGTATACTGCCTGCTTTTCACGTCGGGAGGATGTCCCAAGGTGCTGGGCAAGTTGGATTTGAGGAAAATTATTGTGGAACATGTTGGATACCACTATAAGAAAAGATAGAGAGATCATAGTACAATCACAATAATAATCTAATAAATTATGAAATGTCTTGCATGTAAAGCCGGTGCTCACAGTTTCACAAATAGTGAATTCCTTATCCTGGCAAAATCAGCCTTTAGAGAGCATCACCGAGTATTGTTGAGAGATTTCTCTTTTGACTGTCAGGGAGATTGCAAATCAGTAATGACTGCTCTAATGCACCTCTAACAGAGTAAACACAGCCTGACTTCTCAATTTGCTAAAGGAGCATTGCATACAGGCAGAGAAAGAGAATTGATTTTAAACTGAAGAGAAGGGTGTTGGAAAAATATCATTAATCCTTCCTGGGAATTCTACATTGCACAAAAAGGCTTCTTAAATCTGCTTTCTATTGATTAATGTGGTTGTGATCATTAAATGGCGATGAGGGGGGGAGGGAAGAAAGATGATGTTAATGTGATTTGAACAGATCGTGAGACAATGAGCACGACCCATATTGTGCTACCCAAACAAAACAAATAAATGACATTCACACAATCCTGATAAATGGAGGTTCCACAACAGACAATGTGTTTTTCTTCAGTATCTCACCAGTTGCGAACAGAGGATGGGTGTAGTACTTTCTCCTAGAAGCAGCTGCAAACCTTTGATGTCAGCCTGAAAGCCAGCAGTTTCTGCACAGTGTATGGATTTATTCTCCTTCATTGATCACACTGCTCTCAGAGGCTGGCATGAGAAGAACGCTGTAGAATTGTGTTTGTGTGTGTAATCAAGAATGCAAATACCCATAATATCTCAACAACACAGATGTGAATTGCTGAAGCTAGATCAATATAAGTAAAAACACTTCTAGTTGTATTCTACAAATTAGGAGCAACATTTGAGGAAATAACATGAAACATAGCATTAGGTTATATCTACTGCCAAGGGTGGATGTCAAGTCTGCAGACTGGAGTGTTGTACATTCTGCACTCTAAAGTGCGCACACACAAAATCTCAAGAGGAAAAACACAAGAAGGTGCAGTGATCAAACACACAAAAAGTGACAAACAGGGCTTCCCTCTGGTGAATGAATCCTTATTTCCTCACTAAATAATTTACCCAATGTTGAACAGAGTAGAATCTACAAATGCGGTTTGTTTCAGTGCAGATATTTGCCATGATTGATCTCTACAACACGGGGTGGAGGAAAAATTCAAAATATTGAATAAATCGGGAGGTGTACATCATGAACCCTCCCCCAACCTAATCATTTTTTTATTGATGACATCTGTGAATCTGGGTTTGCGGCATTGGACTTTCAGTCAGTCCATTAAGCCTATGTTGGCGTCATTTCCTCTACTGTAACTAATCAATTAAATTCCCAGATCTTTCCAGGTATCATTTTGCCTTATTCCTCTTCAAATATTTATCAAATTCCCTTTTAAATGTCATGGTATCTCAGTGTGGAAACTTGTAATCTTTCCCCTCAACTCTTCCTGCGTCAAACCTGAGCTACGCCCCTGGTTACTAATTCCCTGCTTAGTTTTGAGTTCCAAAGGCTATTTTGTTTTCACAGACTGAGATGGAAGCAGGGGATTTAGATTAAACACAGCCAGGTATGACTGTAGCAATTACAGACTTTTAAGAAAGAAGCAGATGCTGCCATCTATTTGCCTAACTGTGCAACAGCAGTTTGAGCAGAAACCTACAGTCTTTACACAAATGAACAAACTGTGTTAAACAAAAGGCAGTGAATGTGTCTGCTGCATGCACTCCAGGAAGCAACAAAAAGGCCGGAAGACAAAGTGCAATCAACTTAGTCAAGCAGAGGGTGACTGGCCCTAAATTGGCAGAGAAGATCATTCCTGCATTTGGTGCTGTAAAGGTAAGGTACAGGAACAGAGGTTCTGTTTTGTTACGATGGAAGTGGCAGGATATGTGTACAAAAAACAGGGACATCAGGAGCACAAACAGTATCAGCGTTGTTTTAGTCTTCTCTACCTGAGGGATGATGATGTCTGCAAGGGCTTTGGAGAGCTTGAAGAGTTCCATGGTATCCTCAAGCTTCAAGGCACTGTTGTGTTGGACGTCATATTTAATGCAGTCGTAGATGTCTGGGATTTTGCTGATATCGTAGCGGCCACTTTTCATACGGAAATCTCGCTCCAGTTTTGACCATCGCTGAAGCATCAGCTCCAAGGTCTCACTGTGATACAGCTGAAGGTCTGGAATTCACAAGAAACATTCACAAGGAGACGCTATGGTTTTCTTATATTCCACTGGCTGGAATCTAGATCCCTATCCTCGTTCTTATATAGAATAGCTCCTCTGAGTATTTCAGTACTTGCCAGTCCACCGTCTCTTGTAGCAGATATCATAGTTCAGCTTCAAGGCAGTAATTGAACCTTGTAGTGAACATCACTTAATTAGGTTACTCCTGGATAGATACCGGATTAAAAAAACAGTAACAGTAACCATAGGATTTCCAGAAGCACTAATAGGCTTGTAGAGTCCTGTAGCTCAGTGGTTAGAGCACTCGCTTTGCAAGTGAGAGACCTGAGTTCAATTCCAGGCAGGGCGAAACCTTGGGCAAGTTTCCTTACTCCACACGCCTAATAATAATTAGGCCAAAACCAAAAACAATAATAAATTGGTCATTTTCAATCTACGACTGTTTGTGGGACATTGCTGTGCGCAATTGACTGCCGCGTTCGCCCACAAATATATAGTCAATTCACTTTACAGTGTGTTCTGTGAAGCGCTTTGGGACGTCCTCCCGACGTGAAAAGCGCTATATCAAGAAGGGCTGCTATGTAGAAGGGCTGGTATCTTACTTCAGCAATAATTAGACAGAAGGACCACTGGCCATGGATTGAAATGATGCTGTTGTTAAAGATGACTCACTTGCTGATTTGGGGTCTTCCAATCTTTTCTTGATCTGGGAGATCAGGCTCTGGATCAGGGAGTAAACTCGGTCGCAGGTCTTTACAGGATTTTTAATCAATTTCATGGAGTTAAGAAGAGAGGAGCTGCCAGTAGGAGCCAGCTGCAAATAAATAGGAACATAAAAATGTGCTCTAAATATATTAAACTTTAAACACCAAAATATCTATTGTGACCCAGTGGTTATTCCTGATGCTGCTTTTATACCCAGAAGAATGTTCTCCTGCCCGCTTTCTTCTCAGACATACTTTTAAGCAAGAATCTCTGCATGGTCAAGCAGTGCAATGTTCAAGCAGAGCCCTGCCGATTTTCCCCTCCCTTATCAGAGAGCCACGAAAACAAATTTTTAATCAATAAATACTGCCTTGGCTGAGATTGACTAACTCAGAGCAGGTCAGGGATATATCCGGGAAAATGAATGGCTGAGCTATTCACTCACTAAACGCATTGAGCCATTGTGCAGGCTCAGAGTTGTTAGAGCTGAAAGGTGCCACCAATTTCCAAATGAACTGGCATCCACTCAAACCTTTCCTGGGCCACAGGAAATGCACAGTCCGAAGGCTTTCCGCTACCTTTGCGTAGTCCTCCTCAGTGAATTCCTGATCCTTTTGCATGATCTCATGGAGCCTCGCTTTGACACGGTGCTGGCAGCTGCTTAGAGAATCGCTGTTGCTGTCCAGAAGACCATTCATGTTGGCACTTTTCACCATTTGTACAAGAATGGGAGTCAGTTCGCCTTCCAGTGCCAGGAGGCCCTGCAGACACAAACAGACAATCACACCAGCATCTGAAGCCTGCAGAACAGGCTTTTCCTTTATCTATTCAATTTCTTTAACTAACAAAAGTAGCTTTAGTTATTTTAATTTACAACTGGACACACAAAAAATCCCAAATTAACAAAATAAGGGAACAAATTGACTGAGGCAACTGAACTGTAGGACCCCCTCCTCAAAAAAAGAGCATAGTCGTCATGTAAACTGATTTCCCATCTTAATTAATCAGATGCGTAAATATTATGAATTCAGTAAATGATAAAGGATTTGTCATTAATATTTAGTAGTTAAATTGCAAGTGGCACATGCAAAGCATGAAACGCTGACAGATCAATCCTTCACTTACAGTGCTGTGATGAGGCCAACTGTAGGACCCCAAATCATTGTTAAACTTAAGAAATTTTCCTCTTTAGTCAGAATTTTAAAATGCTGACTTTCAATTGGCTACACTCCAAAACAAATACTACCAAGTAATTGGTATTCACAAGGACGTCCTTCTACTCACAGACCTTAGCAAAAGCTGCTGCCGTCATCTGCACTCTGCCCTCATCAGATGCATAGATTTTCAAGTCGTGTCTGTAAGTGCTGTGCAGACGAAGTAACCCACAACCAGGAAACCCTGCATAGTCACCTGAAAAAAAAGTCACTTCTTGTAACATTTATATTTCCCCACTGATTAATTACTTCTCAATATTCAGATTGCATTCCCGATCTCGACAAGTTCCCTATAGCTAATAATTTCTTGTGGAGATTGATGGCCAGGACTTTCAGTAAAAACAAGGCCAGTGTGAACAACAAAATAATTCCTTTCAGCCATTCATCTATAAGTGCAGAGAAGTGTCTATACTGTACATTGATGTAACATTCTACACATCTGAATAAAATCTGATGCAGCTCTGGATTAAAAATTAACATCTGAACTGCAAAGAATGAAAACATTCAAATAAAGCTTCAATATTTTCATCAGAGTTACAATCGGAACCAGTCCATTACAAAGTCCTTTGGATGAGATGTTAAACCGAAGTCCAATCTGCCTGTTCAGGTGGATGTGAAAGATCCTATGGTACTATACGAAAAGAGAAGGGTGTCCTGGTCAATACCGACTCCATGGCTGTTTGTGGGACATTGCTGTACCACAAAATAGTCAATCCACTTTACAGTGTATCCTGTGAAGCACTTTGAGACATCTCAATGAGGTGATAACACGCTATATCAAATGCAAGAATTATTATTATTACTATTATTAAGGTCACCAGATGCAACTTTCACAAGTAATCCACACAATTGTTACGGTTAAAAAAAATGGAGACTTTGTTTAAAGTCTTGTCACTCAACAGATGGTAAGAATATCTCAGAATGGGTTATTTATATCATCTGTTTCTGCCCTCTCCTCTCCCAGGCACAACAAGGTGAAGTATGGTTCGGGCTGCCAAACAAAACACTTTTCCATTTCAGACCCCAGTATCCTAGATCAGTTTACACACAGGGTTAAACTCTCTGTACTCTTCTCCACAGTGTGCCACAGCCCAAACCTGTGAAAATCACCCCTTCTGCACCAACTTGAAATTTTCCATTTCCTTCATCAGCCATCCCTGTGGGCTCACTTAGAACGAGGCCAAAACGCTTAAAACGACCCAATCTCAAAATGTTTTTTTCACTTTTTGTGCTCTTTGGTCTTTTCTTTTGCCCTGGCTCTCAATTATTATTCTGTTAACCGTTATATCCTCACATTCTATCTTGTATTTCCTTGTTTTTTTTAAAAAAATGAACAGAAACCACCTTTTCCGGACATGAACTTTCTGATGTATTTTAGGATTAAATGATGATCTGGTTAGTTGACTTGAAGATCTAGAACTGATGCCCAGGAAGCAAGTGTTCCACGAATCCAGGTCATATTTGTATGATGGGCAGCACAGATAACTGACAGGAACATCAGACACCAGGACTGCACAGGACCTCTTGATGACGTTGGAACTCGAAGTTCAATATCATTCAGTGGGATTAAGAGAATAATTCTTGAAACATTGGCTCTACACAAGAAAACAAGATCTGGTAGAGGTTGTGAGCGACTACAACTTCAGAAACAGCTAGTCAAAGACAAAAATCAATTCTTCCACATGGGAACAACAGACCGCACAGCAGCACTTGTGATCTACATTTACCCAGCACAGAAAGGGCATCATCAGTAGTCCTGATGTCACACCATGAAACACGCATCAAGCAAAGGGCCTCTACCCTTGAAATTCTCTTCATTGATTTTCTGAGCATATGCATGATCAGGAAGAATTAGAAAAATCTTTCCAGTTTAATACTGCACAAAGTACAGTGAGATTTCATATCAGAATCAAATATGAAAGAGTATTTGCACATTCAGGCTCAGGGAGAGATGCTGCTGCTTTCCTTTACTGATTTCGTTGATTAAACTTAAACCAGTACCCGAGACGGATGAAGAGTTTCATTTTCTAATGCGCTCCCAGACATTGTTCGCGTGAAAGGCATTTTGTAAATGCAAGTTGTCGTTTCTGGTGTTGTAATGGGGTTTTTTAACAATGTCATGAGTTAAAATAATTTCCCAGTTACTCCCAGCCAGACTGAGGGATTTAAGTTTTGCAGAGCAGGAGAATTAATAACTTTTAGTATTTGTATTACTCTTTGCATCTTAGTTACTTAATTAGAATAAAACATAATTTCATTTGTGAATCACTCACATTGACGATTAGTTTGCTGCAGCATACCTTTTGCTGTTAGAATGAACTCAGGATTAAATCACTTCCAGATGTTGAAAAATCAGAGATGAAAATTTGATTAAATCACAACACTCAGATACAAAACCTTCAAACCCTTACCACGGCCAGTGGGAGATTCACAGCTCAAACCAGTGTCGCTATCATCTATGTTCATGTCAGAGGTGGGAGGGAAAGAAGACAAAATTAACATTCACCCCCTCAAGCCTAGGTTTAAAACGTCTGAATTTCCTCAGGCTGTATTAGAAGTAGCAAAGAATTGGGCCTTAATAGATCACTGTTTGTCATGGTCAAATTTAGATTGGCAGAAGGACAAGACCAAATAGAAACTCAGTTACGTTTTAAAATGTTTCTCCTAAATTTGAACAGTTACATGCCTAGGAGAATTAAATCATACCTAAAAAAAATTTAGAACTATTTTCTTTTACAGCATAGAAACAGATGGCAATACGTTGGGAGTAGATTTTTCATATCCAATACGCACAATTGTGGATTGACCTAAGAAATGAAATGACATTAACATCTGGGTCACAAACACAGGGAATCAAGAGTCAGATCAGAGTAAGGTGAAAACAGGAGATATGGTGATAATTTAAAATCAGTCATCAGAGGAATTGAGACAGAGGGTAAGCTTGTCACATCTGAGAAAATGCTGTAGTTGGGAATACCCCAAATAGAACATAAATGTGAAAGGAGCCAATCCAAACCAATACCTATGTAGCTCATTAGTCTGGTTTATGGTAAAGTGTATGCACAAAATTCACACCTACAGTTGCTGGGTTTGAGACGTCAATCCTACAGACGAGACATTCGAAACACCAGGTTAATCTTGTTTTACAGTACTGCAATGGTGTTATTTTGTGTTATTTATCAAAGACTTGCTTTGAAACTCAGTTTATTTAGAACTAGAGATAAAAAAAAACTATATATACACAGTAGAAGCCTGCGTATTCACACACGGACTGTCTACATGTCCACTTATCGACATTGGTTATGATACAGGCCAAAGCAAACCAGCTGGTTACAGGGATTGCAATTCAGCTGCAACTGTGAGCTGGCAATGTAGTGTGTTTGTTTACAGTGTGGGGTTAGACACAGGGAGAGAGTCGGAGAAAAGAAAACAAAATTCAGAGAGACAGAAAGTCAGAGCGAGAGAGAAAGAGAGCTGGCACTCAATAGTCTAGGCTGATATTGCAGTGCAGTCCTAGGGATGAGCTTCATTGTTGGGAGGCGCTCTCCCTCAGATGAGATGTTAAACCAATATTTGGCTTTCCCATAGCACTAGTTGAAAAGAGCAGGGAGTTTCTCCCAATGTCCTGGCCAACAATCTCCCAAATAAAGTTAATCACTGACCTCGGGGGTGTTCATGGGACATTACTGTGTGCAAAATGGTTGCTGTGATCTCCTACAAATACAGTCACTACACTTCATGATAAAACCTTTCAGAACATCTCAACAACGTAACAAGACACAGTATCAGATACAAGGATCATTATTTCACATTGTAACAACTTGTAACAGTGAATCCAAAAAAACTACACATTCAAATGGGCCTTCAATGGACTTCTATAAACCAGAAGATAACACTCAATAAAGCAAACTTGGATCTGAACAAAATGTACTAAGCTAATGTGACTGTGCAAAAAGTCTTAGTTTGCAAAGAAAATCCTGCCCCTTTTAGTACAGACTGAAATCAACATGGGTATTGTTGGCTATTTGCAAAAAGCCAATTGAGGTTATTTATTCATAACCAGCTTATATGTATGTAATTTGGTTATGTATAAATACCACAGCTTGCTTTCATACTCAAACTAAAATTACTGGAACATTAACAGGAAGTAACTTCAGCTACCTTCACCCAGATTCGCTTCATCCCAATACGCAACAGAAAAGTAGGTCAAGCTATTTTAATGCAGAAATGCCTGCTTCAAGTGAAGTGGTTAGAACAAGAAATTCACAATACAGCATATGCTGGGTCTTTCAAAGAGCAATCCATTCAGTGCAATTTATCTGCTTTTCCCCTGCACCTTCGCAAAATTATTCCTTGCGGTTGTGGTATCATTAATATTGTATACGTCGTAATAAGCCGTGTCTACTCTTCATAGACCTGCAATGTGTTATAGTGGAACCAGAACCCAGTAGTTATTCTGTATAGGTCATTACATTTCACCATTTACTGCTTTTGAGAGACAGCTACTCTTTGGTTTGAGTAATGAGGACCGAGGTAGATTTTTGACCATTTACCGATCATATTTACAACATTCGGTACCAATTCATGTCATCAGCATTTTATCAATTGCTTAAATACGAAGACATTTTCAAATCTTATCTTACTACAAAAGCAACTACAGTACTCCCCAAAAAGTAGCCAGGATTGTGCATTCCGGAGAAATAAGATCAACATATAGAATATACTTTATATTACTACCATTTGTGCATTTCAAACACAAAATACTGTTAACCAATTTACAGTATATCTTGTGAAGCACTTTGAGATGTCTCGACAACATATTAAATGCAAACATGATTATCATTATTTGTTATAATCTATACAGTTGTATCTGTTATATTTACAGTGAGACATTGGTTACCAGAATAAATTATGAAGCCTGATTCTGTACAGAGAATTCTCCCAGCATGAATCGGCACCTTGAGGAATGGAAAACCTCACCTGCAGTAGCTATTTATTTGGAGATAATTGGCTAAAAGAAAACGTTCAGAGGAACAGATTCCTTCCCCAAATGTTTTATAAAATATGAATTCATACATACCAAAATAGTAGTAGCATAAACAAAGGTCCAAATCAATTTGCATTTGAAACATTAAAATTTTGCTACAACTTTAAAATGACAGATCTACAATATTCACATTTTCAGCTTGTCAATCATGATCTTAATTAGCATGAAAAGATCAGAACTAACATCCATTTCTTTTTGCCCAGAGCAAACACTCTACATTTCTCCTCCTTTTAGGGAAAATAATAAAAGGCTACTGCAGGTGAGGTTTGAAAATCCGTTTTTGGAACAACATAAGAACGATTGAACGTGGGTCTTTTAAAAATGCGTCTTGAAATCACTGTTAAAAAACCCCAAACCAAAACAAAATATTGAAGCTTGATCAATTATTTAAAAGCCCCTAATTAAAACTGAGCACGTCAGTTGGCACTCAGTCAAAATACGCTGAAAACACTGACTTATCCAGCTGCCCCTCTGAGAAATGTTGACACAGATCTACAAGAATCATTTAAAAGTACGGTCAAACACGTCTTCAACAACCACTCAGGGGACTTGGCCGAAGCGGCATGTGAATTAGATTCAGGTTATTGTATACATTCACTTTGCTTTTTGTATAGATGCCTTGTCAAGCCTCGACTTTAGCACCAGGAATTTCACCCTCAAGGGTTGACGGAGCTGACCATGTCAACAAAACTAAATGTCATCAAAGGGTCCACCTAGTGGTGTTACAGGTTCAGACTGAATGACGAGTTGTGTGATATGCATACGTCCTGTAACTTTCTTTTATTTTGAAAAATTGGGTCTAATTATTTCCAATTCATCCCATTGTCCTCTACTTTCCGCCACTGAAATAGCATCTCTTATTATGTACTGTACCTTGGCCACCAGGGTACATGCATCTGAACGCACGTCCCAACTCCTCTGCTTGCACTCTCCCCGCTGGAGTCAGCTCGCCTCCCCACTTCAACACCAAAAGGAGTGATGGGTCCTCTCTCCTGGAGTCTGAAAAATAAAATAATCGAGTCAGTCATCCGGCTTGTGCTCCTCTCTAGATTACGCTATGATAAATTACATATTTTAAAGTCGACAACATTTAACATGAGCTGCCACAAAAAGAGATGAGGAATGGCAGAATTTATCTTTTTAATATCATGAAGGTTTTTGGTACAATGGATGTTAATCATGTACATTGCTGATCAGAAAAAAATATATATTTTTTGGTCAGTATGTTTTTTTTCCTTTGGTCAACCGAGCATCTGACACATACGGAAACCCTTCACCATGCGAGTACCCATGTTTGCTACCAACACACGGAAATTCCCGTATACGGAATGGAATGTGCACTCTCACCCCAGAGGGACACATCCTGCTTTCTTTATTCCTGAGCACGAGGCAAGGGCTGGCAAAAGCCAAGGGTAGGGGACCCCAGAGTGAGAGTTGGGTACTGCTCAAATTTAACCAGCTAAAACTGCATAGCTTGCCATTGAAAGCACTGTCTGACAAGCTTCCTACTGCTTGTCCAGCTAGGATCATCCAATTCATAAGGGTTTTGGCTTGCTAGGTTAACAGCAGCTGAGTAAGAACACTGCCACCATCTTCCTGCGACCACTCACACACATCTATTGAGTGATGGTTCCACCAGTTGGAGGTGCAAAGTATGCTTAAAGTACTCAAACCCAAGTGTATTGCTTTATTAAAATGTAATAAACACTTGCCCAAAAGAGAGGACAACTTTTTGAATGTTTACTTTTAAAGTATGCGTAGAATGATTTGATCACTTCCACTTTAACTTAATAATTACGATCCTTGCATTTGATATAGTCTCATGCTGAAAAGCGCTTCAGTTTTTTTCTGTTAAGTGTAGAGACTGTGTATTTGTAAGTGATTGCAATAGCCAATTTGAGCACAGCAAAGACCCACACATGGCCAGGAAGTGAATGATTTTTTTCATTTGGGGGATTAGAACACTGAGATAAATCCCTCTTCACTTTTTAAATAGTGCTATAAATGTCATACCTTCTTCCTCACTGGATGTTTTAGGTTGTCCATGAGGCAAATATGTCATCTGTACTTTCCTGTTTATTCCAGAAAAGTGGCCGTACCTGTAAGAAACATATCGAATATAACACTTTGTCACTTGCAACTCCTGCTGATACATGTATCACAATTCACTGCACTTAAAACCCATAAAGAGGAAAATGGGAGGGGAAAGAGAGAGAAAGAGACAGAGAGTAGAGAGGGCGGAAGGAATCTGAGAGAAATAGTAAGAAAGGCACAAAAAACTAGAGGAAAAAAGGGAGGCCAGGCATTGTGTGATACTGCGGTTCGGATTCTGATTAATGATAATTGTGTCAGGTGAACAGGAGACGTATTATCCAGCTAATATTCCTTTGAGCAATATTCAACAACAACAATAACTTGCAAGTGAAGTGCTTGGAGCATTCAACAGTGGCAGAATTTGATCTGAGCCAGGGAGAGAGAGGAAGTGAATCAACTTTAGAACAGGCTAATACTGTACACAAAGGCCATGACTGGCACCAATTGCTTCACCTGATTACGCAGCTCAGAAATGTTGTAGGTTCCAAATAGGGACAATAGGAAGAGTGCAGAAGAATTTTTAAAGTAAAAAAAGGCAGGGGAGAAGGAATGTGGAACAAACTAACAGAAAAGGTGCGAGAACTACTGTATAGGGATTTCAGAAACGTCATCTTAATCTTAGCCACAGCTTTGGTTGAAAACATCGAAACAATGCAAACAGCACATAGAGCTGTTATGTTAAAATGTAAGAATTTAATTCACATCATACAAACTGCAACAATTTCTCCTTTGAAAGACCTACATTTCAAGGACAGTCTTTAGCTGCTCCAGCTTTGATTTCTTTTCCTCTATTTCACAGTCATTATGCTGCCCCAGTTCACCCAGAAGATCCCGTGTAATGTCCAGCACTTCCTGCAATAAAGGAGAAGAACTAAGTAACACAAACACCAGAGATTCAGACTGATCAGCCTCTAGTGAAAGTTTTGGCACTGAGCATCACCCTCAACCTCCTTTTGTAACCTGAGGGCAACAGTATTTTTAATACACACCCTTATTCTTCTAGAAGACTATTGTTTGCCTGTTATGCTGGAGTTGGTATTAATAGTTGTTCTGTTCTGCACAATGTGCTCACATACTAAAGAAAACACCATCACTAATTGGCCAATAATACCTTATGAGCAGGTTCATCATTCTTTGAGCTCCCCCCCATCCCCCCAAAAATCTACATAGAATGTGAGGTTCACAAGATTTGTGAAAGCAGTTTAAGATACATGAGATTTTCGGCAGAATTAAGGTAGAGACCTCCTGAGTTTTTTTGAATTCCAAATCACTTGGGCAATACTACAGGCAAAGACTCATCATAGTATATCCTGTGAAACGCTTTGAGACGTCTCAAAGACGTGATAAGGCGTTGTATCAAATGCAAGGATTATTATTATTTTTATTATCAGAACTCGGGCATTTCCCAATACTGCTACAGGACCAGTTTTTACCTGAAGTTGTTTGGGTTTCTTCAGTTTCAATTTTCCAGACTTATAGCCTTCATATTTCTCGAACAAGTCAAAGAACCTAGATCCAGAAGAGAAGTCATTTAAAATATCTATAACATAAATTAACAGGTTAGGGTTAGGCCAATAATACTGGCTCATTAAAGGACACACATGAGTAGCAGTCAGTCAGCAGTCTGACCCAGATACAGCATTCAGCACCTTCGGGGTGGTGGGAAGGGTGGCAACAGGGAAGGAAAGGAGAGAGAGAAAACGAGAGAGAGAAAGAGACAGACACACACAGAGAAAAAGAGCAGATTGGAACGAAAATAATCAAGTTCAAGAGAGGCAATAACTGTTGAATGGGAAGACATGAAGTGCTTGATCTGCTTCTGTAGAAATAAGTAAAATAAACTTTAAAAAATGCAAATAAATAAAATACACTGGCAGCTCTAATGAAATCTCTTTTAACGATGTCAGATGTCAGCAATGCATCTTTACTAACTTTGGATGCCTGACTTCCATCTTCATCTTCTGCTTTGGAGTTCGGTCCCCATGTCGAATGACCGCAATCACACAGCGAAGCTCCATCCTACAAAAATACAAAGGGTTTCATTTCATACAGACAATCGGCAATAAAAGCAGCATATTAATTTTCACAAACCAACATGCTGGGATATGTTGAACTTACATGGTACCCGATGTAGTTGGAACAATGGGAATATCTTCAGCTTCTGTAGGTATGGACCACGGTATTTGTAACTGAGGAGCCAGTTCCCGCATAATGATGTTGCTGCAACAAAGACAGTCAATTTTGTTCGTTTCCTTGCAAATAGGAATTTGTAAATGCAGCCTTATCACTAAGAATAGGGTTAAAATACATCCACTTAGATAATGTGACAAACTCTATTGGGCATATCATCCCAAAAAAATAGATTATAATAACCGATGAGCAACAATATTGTTTCACTTACAATGATTCTCATAACTCAATATTCAGATATGCATTCATAACCAGTGGAAACAAAGAATACACCAAGTTCATTCAGTCCATCAGGTCCGTTCCTCCCACTCATCACATAAAACATACTCCACTGTGGACTCAACAGCCCGACAAGGACTCAATACAATTAATCAAGCTAAAAATCCAGATTATTGTTCCTTCTCTACTATTCAACACTGACTCAATTCTTTCAATTGACAGGTTTGTATGCACCACAAGTACACACACACACAAACCACACGTGAGTCAGCCAAGCAAGCACTTATCCAATTTTCTGTTCAACATCAAAATTAGATTTTACAACAAAAAGCAGACAAAGTGCGGTTGCTAGCCAAAATTCTTACCCCAGTATTTTTGCACAATCATCATAGTATTTCATGGAGTTTTTCACAAAGCTGAATCCATTGACATCACACACGTAGGAGTGCCCGTTTGCACGCAGTAGATCAAAACCACAAACAGTTTGCTGCATATAAAAATTGAAAATGGCACAACACAAATTATAACAATCCTTACATTCCATATAGCACCTTATCACGTCATCGAGAAGTCTCAAAGCCCGACACAGGATTCACTGGACAGTGTAGTAACTATATTTTTGTAGGCAAACACAGCGGCCACTTTGCACAAAGCAATGATCCATAAATAACCATTAATAATAATCCTTGCATTTGATATAGCGCTTTTCACGTTGGGAGGATGTCCCAAAGCGCTTCACAGAACACACTGTAAAGTGACTTGACTGTATATTTGTGGGCGAACGCGGCAGCCAATTGCGCACAGCAATGTCCCACAAACAGTCGTAGATTGAAAATGACCAATTTATTATTGTTTTTGGTTTTGGAGGGATTATTATTAGGCTCTATGTGGAGTAAGGAAACTTGCCCAAGGTTTCACCCTGCCTGGAATTGAACTCAGGTCTCTCGCTTGCAAATCGATCACCCAGTGCCTTCGCCTTGCTTCCTCCCTTTCCTCCTTCAAGGCCGGTCTCAAGACCTTTCTCTTTGACCGTGCCTTCAGCTCCCCTCTCGACTCTCTACCCCCTCCTTGCTCCCTCCCTTCCCTCACCCTGACCATTTCCCTCCTGCTCAGGTCCTGACCCAACTGTACAGGGCCTTGGGACGTCCTCCCGACGTGAAAGGCGCTCTATAAATGGAATATTGTTGTTGTTGTTGTTGAGTTCTCTAACCACTGAGCTACAGGACTCCATTAATTAATTGAATAACTTATTTTATCTACAAGTTGGTCAGGACATTGGGAAAAACTCTCTTCTCTTTTCAAATTCTATGAGAATTCTATGAGAAGTACTATGAGATCTTTAACGTTCACCTGAACAGGTAGACAGGACTTAGGTTAAGGTCTCAACTAAAAGGCAGTACTGCACTCAACAAATGCTGCACACCATCAGCACAGCATCGCTCTGGAGTGTCAGCCTAGACTGAGTTTCAAAATCCCGACATGGGGCTTGAACACAGATACCTCTGACTCTGAGTGCAGTACTGCCTTGCGTTATTCAATACAAACTTCTAGCATTGCAGAATTTAAACAATATTATTAACTGATGCTTTTACATTGAATTTATTACAAGGAACGAACCTTAAAAGCAACACAGACTTTCCTGGCAACAAGCTTTTCCATGGCAGTCAACATCACAGGATATCGGATCTCTTTCCCTTCACTGTCTCGCTCTACTTTTCCATCTAGAGCCGGGGATTTGCGTGCTTCAGCGTGGGCATAATCAGGACCAACAGTATAGACCTAAACAGTGTTAAAAAAAACACTATAAATGTGAGCTGCTTGGTTTGACATGTCTAGATCTAAAGGCTAACTGACCAGCATGCACCAAAGGCAAACAGTTCTATTCTCTCCCACCTCCTCCACCCAGGACTTCTTGCACAAATGCTGCAGGAATAATAATAATACTTGCATTTGATATAACACTTTCATGTCAGGAGGATCTCAAGTTGGATTTAATGTAAAATGTATATTGTAGACTGTATTTTGTGCGAGAACCACCCCTACAAATGACTCATATTCCAAGTGCCTCAACAGAATTTCTTTTTTTAAACCACAATTTTACAAGAACCTTTTCCATATACTTTGAATAACGTGTTTGAAATAGGGAATTGAGTAAACGCAAGAGAAATTTAACAGAGAGCAAACAAAATGGTGGGTGAGCAATACCTTTACATCGGTTCCATCTGTCGGCATGAATTCTTCATAGATGTAGGATCCGGTCTTGCGCACAGTGCTTTCAGGTGAGTACACACTGCTCCGACTCCCGATCTGTGAAATACGTACACGATGATAGATACCATGGAATGGGAGGTTCTAGTTATGAGGATACGCCTTGAAAAATCAGGGGAGTTTTCACTCGAACAGAAAATGGTTAGAAAGGGCTCTAACAGAGGCCATCAAAACTCTGAAAGTTTCAGCGCCTTGGGACGTCCTCCTGACGTGAAAGGCGCTTTATAAATGGAATCTTGTTGTTGTTGTTGTTGTTGAAAGGCTTTAAAAAAATAGTGAAAAATTATTAGTTGATCCAGTAACCAGGGATCATATGGTCAAATTAACTGGAGGTTTGAGGATTTTTTTCTTACGAAGAGAGATTAGGACATGGAATGCTTCGCTGTAAGTGACGATTGAAGCCAAGAATAACATTCAAAAAGGAAATTGGGTTAACATTTGATGGAGCAAAAGTTACAGAAAAGAGAACTAGAATTGGTAGCACCAGTGAAGGATCTTTGTTGTAGCTTCCATCATTTTATGAAGCATCTACAAAATCACAAGCAAGAGTGATTTGGGAAAATCACCAATGTAATTCCCATTTGTAATTTTCCTCCACACTGGAATGTTTGCCACTCTAGAAACAGCAATATAATGGGGTATAGGAAAAAGCACACAGTGCTAAAATAAGTGCAAAATACTGTTCCAAACTCACTTCTCAGGTATGATTCACTGCAACTATTCCGAGGATTTCCATACCTTACGGAAAAGCCTCTGGCTCCCTCCTCCTGCTGATGTTGGGTAGTAAATGTACACATTATGGTCTTCTGCACTCACAGGTTTCTCCACAAAAGGTTTCTGGAAGACTTCTCCATTTACCTCCACATGATCGTCACCCTCCACCAGACTACATTCTGCAACCATGCAACAAAAACAGGGAAACAAGATTGGATCACAAGCTTTAGAATCACAATATATTGCGACATTTATATTGTGCACTCACAAGATTTTCTAAGATAGTTTCACAAATGTGGAGATCAAGAAATACAGAAATTAACATGCAGAGCATCGGTCCAGGTAAGAATACTGCTAACCATCAGGCTTGTCAGGATCACGATTCAACACTGCATAGCGAGGAAGGTCAATCCCTTCTTCCTGCAAAATGCGATAAACTTCCCTTCTGTAACAAAAAAAAATACACCCACTAAGTCAGAATCTTTAAGCGAACTAAATGAAGACATTTCAATTTTGAGTCACTGAGGTATTAGCACTGTGTTCCAGGATATTATTGGTATATCGCCCACAAAATATACAGTCAATTCACTTTATTCTGTGAAGCGCTTTGAGACGTCTTGAAGACGTGATAAGGCGCTATATCAAATGCCAAGGATTAATATTATTATTATATTACATCACAGACATCTCAGTTAGAATAATAACCAAACACAACTTTAAAATGTGCTTGGTTCCAGAGTCCAGTTGCTGAGACGTGAATGTAAACTCCACTCTATCTACAGGAAGACTTCACTTCCAAGCTGAGTCAGATCGTAAGACCCAGGCCATTGAAATTTGCAAACTTTTCAACAAAAATTAAAAATTTGTCACATACCTGTCCTGAATGTAATACTGCATGTTCAAGTCATTTATGAGAACTGGATTCCTGAGTTTGGCATAAGCCACTGCCTTATCTAGAGGAAAACCTGATGGGAAGGGTCAGGAGAGGCAAAGATTAAGATGACAGCAGTATCAAATCTACTGAATTCCTTTATTTAGAACACCCACACCGCAAAAAAAATACCCTTTTCCCAGATTATTTCTTTGCTCAGCTCTTCCATTCGGCAACTAAGCCCCAAGTTTTAATTCTATGATTCAAAACATTGGGCTATTGCTAGCAAGAGAATGAGAATACTTGAAGCTTACAATAAATTGGATTCAGGGTCACCACATCCCATTTATTTTTATACTTTGAAATGTTAGAATCTGTCGCGCCAATCAAATTGACACCATTTTTTTGTTAATAGGACTTCATCACCTTCTGTTACTGCTCTCACCTTTGGAATGAAAGGAAATAAGACAGTCGCACACCGGCCAGTTCTCCACGGGTTCATTCAGAATAACGTCTTCATTAAATATAACCACCGTGATGTACTCAAATTTACACAAACGCTCCAGAATCTGGGTCATTGGCTTGGATTTAGATTTCTTCGCCATTGCACAAATCCCCACCAGGATCTGTCGCTCTGGAGGCTGGATGGAGAAGGGTGGTAAAAGTCACAATTACAAGGTATTTGGTTTAAAAAAAACATAAATGCATTAAATGAAAATACATTTTTTTAAATTAGCACAAAAGACTCAATTTTCTTCTCTACCTTCAACTTCTCCTTTCTAATGGAGCAAAGTATTGCAGGTATCCACTCATCTAAGCTAAGTGGCTATATGTGAGCTTTGACTGTGGTTTTTTGCACATTATTCGGTTGGAAGGGTGTTCACAGTCTGGCCAGTGTCCACAACTCGACACATATTTGGTGATGGGGGGTCGGGGAGGATCCACTCAATTGCACCATGATGTCAAAGCAAGGCAAGTGCTGCTGCTGCCAAACCTGACTATCTCACACAATGCCAGCATGTTATTCTACTGCTTCAAGCTCAGGAAATAAATATAAACTTTCTCACCACACGATGGGGCTGTGTGAAAGCATCACCAGGGCAAACCCAAACACAGATCCGAGGATTTTGTTCACTACCAGATTATGAAGAACAGCAGTGAACTACCGGGAATGTGCACAGAAAGTCATATATGCTTTCATTTCATCATATTTTACTCCTTCACTTGGCAATCAGGCAAAGGCTGGAATCGACTGGTGGAAAGCTGATTACTTCACCATTGGTGTGGAAACATGAAAATAAAACTGGCCTAAATTCTCTTCAGATGGACATTCTTAACAACAACAACAAGATTGCATTTATAGAGCGCCTTTCACGTCAGGAGGACGTCCCAAGGTGCTGGACAGTTGGGTCGGGACCCGAGAAGATTCAAACTGACAGATTATCCTTGTCAGTACAAGGTTAGCACTACGCACTCAATAAGCGAGTGCAAGGAATGATCAAAGCTGTTGAACTCATTACCACAATACAATACAGTGAGGCCCTGTCTGACTTCTGCTTTAGAACACAATGCTCCACATACGTCAGTCAAATTTTTCACCACAATAAATTTATTTATAACTCTTAAACAAAATGTCTGTTTGACATCAGCTTTCAAATATACTAGTGACGTTATCTCGCCTATGTGATTAGCATGACAATCCATCAATCCTTTTTAACATACAGGATCAATTGATTTGGCTATATGGCTATATTTGGATATGGTATTCAAACTGCTAAAACTAGAAGACAAAGCAGGTAAAAGTGTTCAATACTTTTATTTTAATCAAAATTGAATGCATTTTTCTAGAATAGGGTTCATGTTACACTAATAAAACTTGATATTTGAGTAGCTTTGTAACTACTGTATTAGTAATTTAGCACAGTGAGCTGCGAACTTAAACCAGACATCCTAGGGTGATTGTTTTTTCCCCAGACCTGCTGGACATCTATGGGTAAAGTAACATGCAACCCCTTTATTAATTCATCAGGCCTTGCTCCTTCCTACCTCTGTGACCTGCTGACCCCATAACAACCTGTCGACTCCCCCCGCACCACCATCTGCAGCCTTTCTGACCCTACCCTTTGGAACTCCATCTCACATTCCCTATGCCTCGCTCCCTCCTTTGCCTCCTTCAAGGAGAGTTTCAAATCCTTCCTCTTCCGCCGCACCTTTGGCCACACTCCTTCCCTCCACTCTCCCCGATCCCGACATCCAACTCAGGTCAAAATCACTGAATGTCCAGCACCTTGGGACATCCTTCCGATGTAAAAGGCGCTATACAAATGTAATTTGGCATTGCATTGTATCCACATTGAAGAACAGTGCACATCAAGCCTCGAAAATGTTAATTTCTATTACTGTATAAATTAAATGATAGCGTACACGAGTGTATTATACCAAACCCTTCTCATTTAATTGCTCCAGATAAAGCATGCCACCTGATGGGGATTTTATTCATTACACTGATGGAAGCAAAAAGCTTTTTAAATAATAATTTCAGGTCTGTTCATTTCACACAAATATTGAAGAATCACATCATAATAGCCCCTAAACAGCCCTTATCCTGGAGTGCGCCTCAGCCACCCATTTTATTGAACTGTTTTCAAGCAGATTCAGTAACCGTACTCTGAGTCGCAAATCATTATATCACCTATAGAGAGAAATCATTAAAAAAAAATGTGCTGCGTTCCTCGCAGCTGCTGTATGACATCCAATTATTTTTAAACCCGACACAGTCTAAAAATAACTGTAATAACTTATTTATAAAATCAACAGACTCCTGCACTCTGCTTCATAGGAATTAAAATATAGCTCACTCTTTAAACTATTTGATTTAATTTAAGATGTCAATATTTTGGGAAGTCTTACGGAGTTATATTCGTTCAGGCCAAGGGGAAGGAAAAGGAAGGCAGGAGGTTTCACGGGGAAACATTGGACACAACACTAAGTTATCCCTGATTCTTTTGGAACCTTCTGAAACCAGACTAAGTGACTAATAATCACACACGCAGGTGTAATATTTTAGCCCACAATTAACAGGACCAACAAAGCCAGTAGGAGAGGCCAAGCCTCGTCTTTGGAATTCAAATCTATCATCTTCTCACCTATAGATAATAATCCTTGCATTTGATAGTGTGCCTTATCATGTTGTCAAGATATCTCAAAGCACTTAACATAATTTACTGTAAACTGCAGTGACTGCATTTTGTAGGCTGAGTTGGAAATCTGTAGATGAGCTTACTTGCTTTCAACTACTATTTAAAAAAAATTTAAGACAACTTGTGGGCGATTGGGGGAAGAGAGAGGTGGAAAGGGAAGTGCTGCTAATTTAGCCTTCAAGTGCCTTTACATTAGAGATAAGCATCTGAGTTTTCTAACATGGAAATGCACTTCAAATATTAATTTAGTAAAACTACACTAAAGAACAGCCTTTTTACAAAAACAGGAAGTCACTGATAAGAATGGTAAAGGTCTAACTCGAGTGTGAGTCAGTGAGATGTCAGTCAAGTGTTTATTAACAAATATTTGGACAATTGTTAGATTCAGCTCATCTTTATATCGTATGCATTAAGAAAAGTCTGAAGTTATTAACCAAATCCATTTCCCAGTGTGGTTCCACAAAACTGGATAACAAAGAGAGAGGAGTAACCGGGTGACCGACTGTAAAGCATCCAAGATTTTGTTTCCCTTAATCTCGTTTTATATTCAATAAAAACATTTTACTCAAAGGATTTTCAAGGGAAGGAAATGGGGTGGGGGGGGAAGGAACATAAGCAATTAAACAATTCTTTAATATAATCAACAAAATGCACTAATATGGACACAGAAAAATATGGGCGCTCCACACCTCCCAAATAAATAAATCGGCCAAAAATGCTTTTGTGTTCTACATACAGGATAAAGAGAAAATTGATGATGGAAATCTGAAACAAAAACACAAAAGACTGGAACAACAGATGGATAAATTCCTGTAGACGCTTTATTGATCATGCAAGAAATAAGTGAGCTTAATACCAAAAACAAATCTCTCACACTGCATCCATGATTACACTTAAAAGGCAAGGCGACCAGGTTTTAAACAAGCAGTGGTTTAGGAGATCAGCAATTTTCTCTTAACGTCTGGGGAATAAAAGTTCAGCAGGAACAATAAAAAAGTTGCCTTACCGAATCGGAATCATTCGCTTCGTCGTAAAGGTCAAGGTGTTCTGCCTTCATGTTTGATCCCAGATCATCAGTTTCATCCTCCTCACAGCCAACAAAAAATTTAGGAGCTGAGTGTTTCCCCTCAAAACAGAAGGCGGGGGCTGTCATGACAACCTGGTTGACCTTTCATCACTGATATTAGCCATCATAAAAAGAGAGAGACAGCTGAACTTTTTGAAGTACTCATAATAGTATTAGTTATCATTATCCCAATATAATCTTGTGTAAGGTTCAAGGCACAGTCCAGAGCTCCAAGCACGTCTACTCTTCAACACACAGACAAGTGTCAAAATCTTTAGAATCAAGCTGGCAGCTCCAGTTTTCTTTTTCTCCCCTTGAAAGGCGTCTAATTCAAAGCTTAACTATCTGCAATGAAACCAAAAGAGAAAGTTAATAATTTTGCATCAATTCCTGACAGTTTGTTTTACTTGGATATACCAGCCCATCAAGATATTTGAACCTTGCTTCCTGATTTCATATGTACGCCAAAAGAGTTTTAGGAGTGTTCAGGATCAGACAGTTGAGGCCCAATTGTTAATGGCAGTGTTGATCATTCCTATACAGTTTTTATGAGTGGCTTCTGCACTCTACCGTTTCTAGAACCAAACAAATACATACTCAGACCAATACGTTTATTTTTTTAAAAAAAGAATGACGACGGGCCATTTCATTTGGTGCATTCTTGCATGTTCCGTGGGCCGTTGTGCAACCTTGAAATTAACCACTTGCTTATGTATAAGGTAAATTGCAAGCACAGACCAGTCAACTACAAAAAAGTTATGTTAAGCAATTGATGCTGAGGGTATAATACGTAAAGGGAATTGGTTAAGACATTTGAAGAGTAACAATATATATATTTTTAATTACATAGAAAGAGCAGAGAATTAGATTAGAACAGTTAGCTGTAAAACAGAGGAGCTAACGTCAACATAAATTCAATGGAACGAATGACTGCCTCTGCTATAGTATCTAAGATACTGTACATGGATCTCAGCGAGGGGACTTGGGGAATGTGCACTGTATAATCTGTGATTGTACTAATATACGGAGTGAGGAGAAGAGCGCAGAATAAGGCAGGCACACTTACGATGCCCTACAGTCTAACGTCCTACTGACACTCACCGTCTAGGCTCACACATGAAGAATCACAATTTGTAATAAAAATAATCTTTGCATTTTATATAACGTCTTATCACAACATTGAGACATCTCAAATCGCTTCACAGAATATATTGTAAAGTGGATTGACTGTATTTTAGGGGTGAAATGCGGCAGCCAATGTCGTGAATTTAGAGACTTTTTTTTAGGGATTATTAGCCCCAGAACGCGACCTGCCATTTCAGACTGACTGGTGAGCCACGTTTTGCATTAGGAGCCAAGTGCCTTTGAGAGTTGGGGGGAGACAAAAAAAAGTCAAAGATTTCTTGATGTTATGGATTTCATTTGATTCAAGAGCATAGCGTCTGCTTAAACAGTTGACAAGGCTACCAACAACTTTTCTTTTATCCTCATAGTAAACAGAAGTGGTTTAATCACTGACTTGCAATCATGCCAATTCAGGAGTAAGACTGTTAGGTTATCAAATGTGCACTGAAAACTACCAATTTTTTAAAAAAATAAACAAGATTGCAAAGCAAGTTTCAATTAATTTTTCTAAAGTTCTATGGAAGGAGGAACTTGGCATATTTTGGAAAAAAAACAAGCTTCAAATAATCACAGTTGTGCTGAAAGACTCCCTTGCAGGGTCAAATATATCTGAAGCGTATGCAACTTAATACTTTAAGCTGCATATGACTACCAAGCAGAAATATGAGAGCTGCTTAGTGTAACACTATAATAGGACTGAATCCCTATAATTGTCTGAATAATGCTATAATAATAAATATCAAACTTTTCTTGTTTGATATTTGTGCTCAAATCAATAAGTAGTTCAAAATTTGAGGGTGAAAAGAACTAGCACTTGTAGTAAAATCATTGTTAATTGATGGGTTTTGCTTTCATCTCCAGCCTCCAAACTCTACATACACAACTTTTCTCCTTACTACATACTCACTGGGTTGAAATCCAAACTCATCAATCTCCTACTCTATACATCAGCTCCATTAACTTCTTTAACTCTTTCAGTATTCACTTTCCTATATGCTTTTAAAATGCATGTTTGGTATCATTTCTCTCATCTTCTCTCCTACTCGTTTCAACCCTACGGCCATTTGCCCTTCAGCCCACGTTTGGAGCATTAAACTGCTCCAAAAAAAACTTTCAGAAGCCAAGTTATATGAAAGATTTCCCTAATATTGAGCTAAAATTATCTCATGGTTAATTTCCCAGATGTCCTAGATTTTTGTCATCAGTGTTCCTATAGGAATTCTTTTTTCTCCAAAGAGTTATTTTATACCAAATTTAGAAAATATTTCAATACGTTTTCTCTCCACCAAATGAAAATCCAACCAACGATTTAATACAGCAAATTCACATGGCAGGTTAGGTTTAGTACAGACTATACACATTTCAACAACATGTGGGATACACTACACTGCAGCGTTGAAGGCTTGCTACACAATAGAACAAAAACAATCCCTCATCCACGCACTGCTTTACCCACAAATCACCTTATAAAAGTGACAACATTTTAGTTGTGCACATGCACACAATGTTGCCAAGTGTGATTTGTTACAGGCAAGTACAGGATTAAAGAGAGCAAAGCTGGATGGCTGCGATCGTCAACAACAGTGCTTTTATTTTAAAAAAAACTCACTTCCTTCAATTGAATGTTGACAAAACTGAAGCCATTCCTCTCTGCTTCCAACAAAACCTCACCTTCCCGGCTGCTCACTCACTCATTCTGACTTACACATCCAGTGCACAAGCTCAGCATTTTATTTGACTCTCAGCTCCCATTTATTTTATTATTTTATTTGACTCTCCCACCCCCTAAGCCTCTCGATTCCAACCTTCAGCTCAGGTACAAACCTGAAAATGTCCAGCGCTATATCATTGTCATGTTGTTGTTGTTTTAAGCCTTTCAACTTGTCCTTGAACAACTCTGTCTTCCTCCCATCTCCATACTCCATTTCTATCTCTCACCTAATACAGTCAAAGCCATACTCCATGCCTTTGCGATCTCCAGATTTAATTTCGCCAATGGCCTCCTCATTGGCCTTCCAAGCTCTCTCCTCCAAAAGCTCGAGGTCATCCAGAATTCTGCAATCTGCATCCTCTCCTGTAACTCTCCAATACAAGCCTATCATCTCCATCCACTCCAGGCTTCTGTTCAGTCAAATAGTGAGCCGGAGGGTAGGAACATAAAGCAGGTTTGAGTTAGCAGAGCGGAGATGGGAGAGGGGGTGCAGGACCACAGAGATCACACAGGGAGGGTGACTTAAGGCATGGAAGCATTTAAAAGTCAGAAGGATTCCAATCCAAGTACCATACTCTTTCCCCCCAGCTCTAGTGTCACTCTCTCCCCCCAGCCCTAGTGTCACACTCCCTCCCAGCCCTAGTGCCACTTCCCCCCCACAACAACAACAACAAAATTACATTTATAGAGCGCCTTTCACGTCGTGCAGATGTCCCAAAGCACTGTTTGTCACTTCCTCCCAGCCCGAGTGTCACACTCTCCCCCCAGCCCGAGTGTCACTCTCTCCCCCCAGCCCTAGTGACACTCCCCCCCACCAGCCCTAGTCACACCCCCCGCCCACCCGGTGTCACTCTCCCCCAGCCCTAGTGACACCCCCCACCCCAGCCCAGTGTCACACTCCCACCCCCAGCCCTAGTGTGACACTCCCCCCCACACCCCAGCCCTTGTGTCACACTCCCCCCCACCCCAGCCCTAGTGTCACACTCCCCCCCACCCCCAGCCCTAGTGTCACACTCCCCCCACCCAGCCCTAGTGTCACACTCCCCCCACCCCTAATGTCACACTCCCCCCCCACCCCCAGCCCTAGTGTCACACACCCCCACCCCCAGCCCTAGCGTCACACTCCCCCCCCCACCCCTAGTGTCACACTCCCTCCCAGCCCTAGTGTCACACTCCTCCCCTCACCCCAGCCCTAGTGTCACACTCTCACCCCAGCCCTAGTGTCACACTCCCCCCCCCCCTAGTCCCTAGTATCACCACCCCCCCACCCCAGTCCTCGTGTCACACTCCCCCTCACCCCCAGCCTAGTGTCACACTCCCCCCACCCCTAGTGTCACACTCCCCCCCCACCCCAGCCCTAGTGTCACACACCCCCCCACCCCCAGCCCTAGCGTCACACTCCCCCCCCACCCCAGTGTCACACTCCCCCCACCCCACCCTAGTGTCACACTCCCCCACCCCCAGCCCTAGTGTCACACTCCCCCACCACCCCTAGTGTCACACACCCCCCCACCCCCAGCCCTAGCGTCACACTCCCCCCTCACCCCCACCCTAGTGTCATACTCCCCCCCCACCCCAGCCCTAGAGTCACACTCCCCCCCACCCCCAGTGTCACACTCCCCCCTCACCCCCCCCCCTAGTGTCATACTCCCCCCCCCCCCCCAGCCCTAGAGTCACACTCCCCCCACCCCCAGTGTCACACTCCCCCCTCACCCCCACCCTAGTGTCATACTCCCCCCCCCCCCCCCCCCCCCCCCCCCCCCCCCCCCCCCCCACCCCTAGTGTCACACTCCCCCCCCCACCCCCAGCCCTAGTGTCACACCCCCCCCCCCCAGCCCTAGCGGCACACTCCCCCCCCACCCCAGTGTCACACTCCCCCCCACCCCCAGCCCTAGTGTCACACTCCCCCCACCCCCAGCCCTAGTGTCACACTCCCCCACCACCCTAGTGTCACACACCCCCCCACCCCCAGCCCCAGCCCTAGTGTCACACACCCCCCACCCCAGCCCTAGCGTCACACTCCCCCTCACCCCCACCCTCACCCCCACCCCTAGTGTCATACTCCCCCCCACCCCAGCCCTAGAGTCACACTCCCCCCCACCCCCAGTGTCACACTCCCCCCTCACCCCACCCTAGTGTCATACTCCCCCCCCCACCCCCAGCCCTAGAGTCACACTCCCCCCCCCCCAGTGTCACACTCCCCCTCACCCCCACCCCTAGTGTCATACTCCCCCCCCACCCCCAGCCCTAGTGTCACACTCCCCCCACCCCCGGTGTCACACTCCCCCTCTTCCTCGCTGACATTCGGAGTATTTCTTATCCGACACCACATAACCTCCAAATTCCTCAACTTTAAATGTAAGTGACAGCACACACCTGTTGCGGGAGGCTGTGAACTCCCTCTCTGAAGCCTCCATGTCTCTGGTCTCCTTCATCAGGGAGACGCCCCCGACGAGCTTCCGGCCATCCGAACCCGCTGGCGGAAGTGGCCCTGCTCTTGATTGGCACCTAAACCCGACGAGGAAGGGCGGGGTTTGAGCTTACCGGAGCCAATCAGCGTCACGTCAATCGCCTGCTGTTAAAGAGCAGCAGCGCCGGCTCCACGCCTAGTGGTGACCAGCGGCAACTGCAGGAACAACACACACACACACACACTGCACAGTGACAGCAATCCTGTGATAGAACACAAGGGCATCAGAATTGGATGGGCAAAAGAAGTCCAAAAGTCCATCCAGTTCGCCTCCACCATCCCGGCAGTCGCTTGACCTGTCGTGTCCCAAACCATACGCTGTATCCCGAGATATTATTTTCCGGCAGAAATCTATCTAATTTGTTCTTGAAACAAATTGCATTTTCTGCCTCCACTGTCTCCCTGGGGAGCCTGTTCCGCACGTGTTGACTGCACTCTCATTGAAGTAGTGTTTCCGCAGAATGTACCCCCTTAATAGTATTTACATTTGAAATAGCGCATTATCGTGTCATCGAAACTTCTCAAAACACTTCACTGGAATTTCGGTAAAGTGTAGTGACTGTATAGGAAAACGCACCAGCCAATTGGCACATAGCATTGTCCCACAAACAGCCATGAAACAAATGAATGAATGACCAGCTGGATATTAAAGATCCCATGCTACTATTTGAAAAGAGAAGGGAGTTTCTCCTGTTGTCCTGGTCAACAATCCTCGGGATAATATTGAAATTCATTTCATGACTGTTTGTGTGAAATTACTGTCTGCAAATTGGCTATTGGCTGCCACATTCACCTATTGGCTATTGGCTGCCAATACACAGTCACAGTAAATTCTGTGGAACACTTTCAGATGTTTCAATGACATGAAAAGCACTATATCAAATGCAAGGATTATTATTTTTAGCTCATTGTTAACCTTCAGCTGGGGTAGAAATGTGCAGGAACAGATAGTACGTGTCACCCACCATCGACTGGCAAACCCAACTGCACAAAATTAAAAGGGAAATGATGGCAGTGGATTATAAAAAGGTCAAGGTCACTCTAAGTTCTGTACTAATAGACAGACCAAGCATACCAGGAAGTCTATAAAGAAAGATATGACGCTCAGTTTAAGAGTAAGTGAAAGTGTAAAGGTCAAGCATTGAACAAAATGAGGCATCAAATGACTAAAAGAAGTTACTATTTTAAAAACTTAAATAATTCCATAAAGCAAGAGAATATGGAAAGCAACACAGAAGTTGAATTCATAGAAATTACCGCACACACCATTTTCTTCCATCAACCTCATACTGTGCTAGTTTCTCCACTGGAGCTAACTGCTCAATTCCCAATTCCTTGATCTTTCCCCAAACCCTCCTCAGATACTTAACCAAGATACTTTGGTCTCTATAGACTCTTAAAGAAGGACATTCTGTGTTTTAATCATCCCCTTGTGTGAAAACATTTCTTCTAGCCTATGCCCTAACTCTACCAGTAATAATAATTATGGCATTATATATAGCATTTTTAGCATCAAAACCCTTCACAGACACCTGCTGTCAAGTGTAATAACTACATATTTGTAGGCAAACATGGCAACCAATTTACATACAGCTGGTCCCACAAACAGCCGGGAGGTGAACATCTCATTTATTAGGACACCTTGAGAAACTTGTTATGGGGCTTTTAACCTGACAAGCAGATGTCTCATCTGAAGGACATCACCTCTAATAGTATTGAATCATCAGCCTAACCAAGGTCCTGACATGGTGCTTGAACCCACAACTTTCCAACTCAGAAGTAAGAGTCCTACCGATTGAGTCAGACTGACATTTAACTGACAACAATGCAGAGCAGGAACAAATCACCTGACAAGTGAGCGAAAATGCCAACAACTTTCCCTGTCAGGACAGGTTGGGTTTCACAGTTTACCAAATCAATAAATCTAGCTCCTAATGGACAACTCCAATATCCTTTGCGCAGGAGAAACTGACATTTGAGAAGTTTACTTTTATGTATAACTTGTTTATTTTGGCCAATTATTGAATAGCACATCGCCAGCAGGAAAATATCAGGCAATTTGAGAATGATCACTTGGAATAATTATCACGTCAATGTCACAGTATTCACCCATTCATTATTTTGCCTTTACAGTTTTTTTTGGTCAGCTAATTATTAAATATGAGTGAATCCTCAGCTCAGTGAAATCTTTTAGCACTTCGGCATTTCCGGCACCTAGCATCATCAGTGAGTATTCACAGCTCTTGCCAGTGAGGCACATGATCCCTCCATGATGAAAGGTGATTTAACTCTGGTTCAAGGTTAAGTTGCACAAACCATTAGAGATTCCACTGAGTGTAGAATTCCCCTTTGAGTGAGGTATACTCTATTTATGTAACAATTTAACCTAACCAGCTACATCATGCCGGGGTTTACATCCAGCCAGTCTATCCTGGGTTTATACTTTACAGTGTGGAGTCCCATCGAGTAGTGGTTAAGCGAGAAGAACTGGATTCGATTCCTGGCCGGGCAAGGCAAAACTTTAGGCAAGTTTCCTTACTCCAGAGCACACCTCTGTTTACCTAGCAGTAAAGAGTAATCGGGTTGTTCCCGGTAATAATCCCTTCAAAATACAGAAATAATTATTTGGTCACTCAATCCATGACCGTTTGTGGGACAGTGCTGTGCGCAATTGGCTGCCGTGGCTCTTTTTATAACTAGATATTAAATAGTAGAAAATGGTGTTGGAAGCCATCTTAAGTGGGATTTTAAACTTAACTTTTAAATATATTTTGTCCATCTTAACCATGAGGGTTTGTTCTGGAAGAGTTGCAAGCGGCTCGTCCCTACTCTCTATAAATCTATCTCGGAGTCCGTCCATCTTTGCCCCTCCTTCTCCCACCTTCAAAATGCACCTTAAGATCTATCTTTTCAATTGCTGTTTTGGCTACCTCCCCCACCCAACACACTTCAACCCTCCCCCACCTTCACCGCCATCTCCCAGTCAGTTGTATGAAGCACTTTACGTTGTGAAAGGTGCTGAATAAATGTAAATCATCCTGAAGGACACAGATAATCCCAAACACTTGACTGTGTGAAAGCTGCCAACGACTGAAGATTAAACAGGCTTACAATGTTACTCACACTTCTGGGATTTGTAAGTTTTTGTAAAAATGCGTTTGCTGCTTTTCTCTGTGTTTTAGACCTGCTTGTTCTTTTAGCTTATATTTCTGTTTCACTGTTTCGCTAGGTAATGAAGTGCCAAAGGTCAGATGCTACGTGAGAAGCAAGCCCAGAGAGATGGTTCCTAGAGCTCAATAAAGAGAGTCACGCCCTGTTTTAACTCTGGCAGAAACTGCTTGATTTGAGCAAAGTGGTTTAGGTGAAGGCTCTAATTCAGATACTTTGATGGCCCAGGGAGTAAATGCAATGCCTTATATAAAAATAATCCTTGCATTTGATACAGTGTCTTATCACATCATTGAAACATGTTAAAGGGTTTCTTGGGATTTACTGCATATCGTAGTGACTGTTTTAGGCAAACCTGCGCAGCCAATTAGTGCGCAACAAAGTATTCGAAAATATCTTTTTTGGCCGTCGGATGTATGACACGTCAGGAAACCCATGCTTAAGAGTATCCAAACCAAAATGAGAATTCCATGCATTCTACCTACACATGGGAATTCCAGAGATAGATTCACTCCCTCCCTAGCTCATAGGCAGGACTTGGAAAGGTAGACCAGTCACTAGGGCAGGGAATCGTCCCACTCAGCTCCTCTTAGCCCTCCAAGCCAAAGCTCTAATGGGTAGGGTGGTCCTAGCTGGACAAGTAGCGGGAAAGTTTGCCAGACAGTGACATCAATGACAAGCTATGCAGTTTTAGCTGGTTACCCCAACGCACACTCTGTGGTCCCCAAGCTTTGGCTCTTGCCAACCTGCACCTAATACTCTCTGGAATTAGGTAAGCAGGATGAGTCTCTCCAGGAAGAAACTGCGTATTCCATTCCAACAATCTATCTCTGGAATTCCCACGTGCAGGTGGGATGCATGGAATTCTCAGTTTGATTTGGTTACTCTTAAGCACGGTGATCAGTTTCCGTATGTGTCAGACAAACAGCTGATAAAAAAATGTTTTTTGAGAATGGAGGGCAGGGGGGTGGGGGATTGGTTGGAATCCACCAACAGCATCACTAAATTGACTCGAATCCTAACCTGTCTTTCTGTCTTAGGTACATATGGACCTGCTGCAAATTTCCATCATTTTAGGTGTTTAATTTTTTTGTGTGTGGATTACATGCACAGTGAATACACAGCCAGATTTATTGCGTTTAAGAAAAGGGAATGTGTTGCACTTTGTGAGGCTTGTCGTTCAAACTACTTTTTAAAAAAAATACTTTCATCTTTCATCCTTCCCGTCTCAAAATGGAAGGATGAGGGATGGTCTATTGGTTGACCTGGCAGTTTACAATGAGAGGTGAAAGTCAAATCACTCGTCGCAAGAGCTGGTCGCAGAGGAAGTCCTGGCTCCAATCCCAAACATGCAACACGTATCAGCTCACCTCCAATCACATTGCAGCCAGGAATGTTAACTCTTCAGCCTGCACTGAGTTCTCTATCACTTCTCCTTCCTTCACTCGAGGTCGACGGCTGAGGCTTGACTCCTATTTCTTCGGTGAGAGATAAGTTTATTTAAAGTAGTCACTCGCTATCCTGATAATGTAGAAAACTGTTTTAATAGGATATTTCTTCACTGTTTACATTCTTGTTTAAACTCAATTCTGATCTCCTGTTGAATGCCACCCATTTCATTTACAGGGTGGATTGTAAACTGATGAATTGAAACACTTCATATTAATTTCACTCTAACGCTGCTTTTTTAATTTAACCTTAGTACATTAGATTATTGCTTCAGTTATAGCAATTACAATTGGGGTTGAGATCATCGAGCAATTAAAAAAAATTCAGATTTTAACCGTTCGTTACTACTTGAAATAGATTTTGGGGCATACAAAACATTTAGAAACCATAAAATTGAACACCAAATCAAAAAAAGTTTTTAAAATGTATTTCATGAAGACCTTTCCATTTAGTCACTTAAAAAAAAGTAATTGTAAAACCAATTACATTTTTTTTGTGTGTGGCTTAAAGGATTAAAGAGCTCAGAGTTCCTTGTCTTGTGATTATAACTGGCTCGAGTCCATTTGGATTTTGCTCCTGATTGTCTCTCCCTTGAAACTGTGTACTTTTCAAATAGTTTTATAGCTTAGTGATTGCACATCAGAGGTGTAGACTGACTTGCCTTACAATCCTTTTATTCCCCTATCATTTACATTAGTTTTTTCCATTGTGCTTAGTAACCTTAAACTGCTGTATGGTGTCATCTTGGTTCAGCCGGTAGTTGTCTCGCCTCTACGTCAGAGCTGCACACTGGGAGTTGATCTGATAATCTAGGGCTGACACTTCAGTGTGGGGACACTGCATTATTGGTTATACTGTCCTTTGGGATGAGACATTAAACCAAGGTCCTGTCTGCTTGACCTGATAGTTTCTAAAAATTCCCACATCACTACTTTAAAAGAGTGCACATCTTTTTTTCAGTTTCCGAGTTAAACTTCCTCTCTTACCAAAACTTACAAAAACAAATCAATTGATCATTCTTCTCACTTCATGTTTGTGGGACGTTGCTGGTGGCTGGCCTTTCCAACAGATTAGTTGCTATTGGCCTATGTAATTACAATCATTATACTTTAGAATAACTAACTGCATAAGCTATTTGAAATGGTTGGTGTAGTGCTGCATCAAATGCTTATTTTGTTTCAAAACCATTACTTCAAATGTTATGGTTCTCCTTTTTTNATGTGGCAATTTTCATGTTAAGCCATTAGGTCTAGTCATTATTCTGTGAATAACATTGAGATGATAAAATGATCTGTAGAATCATTTTAATATCAATGTGATTTGGGACAGTTTAAAAAAAGACAAGATATAAAAGTCTTGCTGTGAATCTATTATTGGATGTTACACTAGCTTTAATCTATTTGGGTAAACCAATTTAAACCAACATATGTTGAATGGGTCTACACCATGAGCAGTGATTAGGTAGTTGTCATTGGATTGAAAGAACCATATGTGCTAAATAAGAAGTGGGTTGCAGATACGCCAATGATTTGCTTGAGATCTGGCTTATTGAAGTACATGAAGAAATTTAGATGAACATAGTTTGTTTAGAGAATCATAGAAATTACAACATAGGAAGTTGTTCAGTCCATTGAACCTATGTTGGTGCCAGCTCCTCTAATTGCACTGAGGTAGACTGAGTACTGATAGATTACACAGCAACAACAACAAAATTACATTTGTATAGTGCCTTTCACTTTGGGAGGATGTCCCAAGGCACTGGACAATCAGTGTTTTGGACCTGAGCTAGGGGTCGGGAATAGGGGGATGGAGGGCAGGGGAGGAAGGAAAGTATTCAAAGACACGGTTGAAGAGGAGGGTCTTGAGACAGGTCTTGAAGGAGGCCAGGGAAGGAGCGAAGCGGAAGTACTGCTGGATGGCATTCCAGAGGGTGGGGGCAGAGTGGCTGAAGGCTCGCCCACTAATGGTGGGGTGGGCAAGGTGGGGAACGGGAAGCAGGCCGGAGCCCGCTAAGTGGAGGGAGCGGGCAGGATGTAAAGGATTAGGAAGTGGCAGAGGTAGGGGGGAGCAAGGCCATGGAGGGCTTTGAAGGTGAGGACCAGGATCTTGAACTGTATCCTGTGTGATGGGAAGTCAGTGGAGTCTGGCAAGGATCGGGATGATAGGGTCACGGACCCCACTGCGGGAGAGGACACGAGCTGCAGAGTTCTGGATGATGTGCAGCCTATGGAAGGAGGAGTTGGGGAGGCTGACAAGCAGGACGTTTGCATACATAGTCAAGCCTGGATGTTTTGAATGCGTGTATGAGGGTCTTGGCAGCCTGTGATGTGAGTCAGTGGCGGAGCTGGGCGAAGATGCAGAGGTGGGGGAAGGCAGAGCAGGTCATTGTACAGATGTGGGATAGAAAGGATAGTTGAAGGTCAAACAAGACGCCAAGGTTCCAGACTGGCTCAGTGAGGTGGAGTGTGCATCCTTGGAAATAAACAAAGGAATAAGATGAACATAAAATAACAACAACCTATATTTATATAGTGCCCTTCATGCGAGTAGTGTCTCAGAGTGCTGAAAAGGATGTTTCGAGGTAAAACAAGTTATTTGTTTACAAACATATTAATACAGTACATCTTGACAAAACTTCTTAATTAAGAAAATCAAACAGGGAGTCCTTCTGGAAAAACTCAAAGTACCTCACACCAAATCAAGGGATGTAGATTGTTCTCAAGAGTCAGCATCTCAGATGGACAGATATCTCAATTATGAAATTCCTTTGGGAAATAATACAAAATGGATTCCCTTATATGTTTGAAAGTGACTTTATAATAATAATAATAATAATAATCCTTGCATTTGATATAGCGCTTTTCACGTCGGGAGGACGTCCCAAAGCGCTTCACAGAACACACTGTAAAGTGAATTGACTGTATATTTGTGGGCGAACGCGGCAGCCAATTGCGCACAGCAATGTCCCACAAACAGTCGTAGATTGAAAATGACCGATTGAAAATGACCGACTTTGGATGGAGGACACAGTTTCAGTGTTATTCCACATCAACAACAACGTGCATTATTATGATAATGCCTCTCGCACAAAAGAACCACCCAAACTTCATAGAATCATAGAATTTTACAGCACAGGAGGAGGCCATTCGGCCCATCGTGCCTGTGCCAGCTCTTCGAAAGAGCTATCGAAGTAGTCCCTCTTGCCCGCTCTTACCCCACAGCCCTACAATTTTTTTCCTTTTCAAACACATATCCAATTCCCGTTTGAAAGCTACTATCGAATCTGCTTCCCCCGCCCTTTCAGGCAGTGCATTCCAGACGGTAAACAACTCTGGTTCCTTATCCAATGCAGTGGTAAAGTAGCAAACAGATGTTTATCAGAGCCGTGGTGTTTACGTGGGCGTAATGATTGATTGATAAAATGTGACGCGGGGTGATTTGAAATGGGGAACAGTCTTATAAGGTGCATTTGGTTGTTCACTGTCCGATAGCGATCCCTGTGGGATTTGGTTAGTACTGGGACCCCCAGAGCCAAACCACTGTTGTTGGAAAACATCACCTCCTCTTGTGCTCTGTCCAATAGGTTTGGTTCTGAAATGTGCGATCGCTGTGTACCGACACGTCCCAACAGCTGAATGAAATATTCCCGCAGCAGAACCATCTCCGGAATGTGTTCTAAAATATCGCACAGCAGTCAGGGGGGAAAAACATTGCCCTCCTATGTAAACAACAAGAAATTAGCACACATATAGCGTCCTAAAAGCACCAGATACACACACACACACACACACACACCCACACACATACACATACACATCCACACATACACATTCACACCCACCCACACCCACCCACCCACACACACACACACACACACACACACACACACACACACACATCCACACACACACATCCACACACACACCAACCCACACCCACCCACCCACCCACCCACACACACACCCACACACACACCCACACACACACACACACCCCCACACCCCCCCACACACACACCCCCACACACACACACCCCCACACACACACCCACACACACACACACACACCCCCACACCCCCCCACACACACACACCCACACACCCACACACACACACATCCACACACACACCCACACCCACACACACACAAGTGGCTATTAAAATAGAAGTGTAACGTTACCCGTTGCAGCAGAAACTGACTACAGCAGTTGATTCGTAAGAGAAATGATTAATAAAGAGAATAAATAAAGCTAAATCAATTTTTTTTAAAAATACATATACACATGTAATATAATCTCTACTTTTTGAAGTAAAAGAAAACTCTTGTTGGCTTACACTCATGTGACAAAATCTCCCATTGGAAATGTATACATATACACAGTAAATGTATATACCGTATATGTATATAATATATACTGTATATCTATAATGTATATATATATACTGTGCAATATGCACGCGGGGGGGAAGGGGGGAGTCAAGATTTCATACACATGCAATGCACACACACACACACACACACACACACACAGGTGAAGATGCACAAACACCTAATGTTATTGCTGAACGAGAATTCCTTCAGATTTTTTCTGGGATTAACGTTGTGGTCTCAACGGGTTTCTCGGGGAAAAGGGGAACAGCCGCCACAGCCACTGCGGCATTTCTGATCACGCAGTGCTGTCATCTCTCTCTCTCTCTCTCTCTCTCTGTGTGTCTCTCTCTCTCACACACACACACACTCACTCACTCACTCTCTCACTCTCGGTTTGCATTCGGGTCACGTCCTCCAGCTTTGCCCTTGAGTCCCTCCTGTGGCTTTTCCTCCCGCAGGTTTCTGCTGCCTCTCTCCCTCTCCGTCTCAGAGTCCCCCCCTCCCAGAACCATGGCCAGCACTTTCTCTCGGATTTTCTCAAGCAGAAGGACCGGTGGCATCCTGTCCTTGGTGGGAGCTGGATCCCTGGCCACTGGCTTTCTGCTGGGCAGGGACCATGTCAAAGCAGTGGCTGAGAGAAGGAACCTGTATCCTGCCAGGTAAGTGCAGAGTGAACCCCATTCAGCCAGGGGTGGGGGGTGGGGGGTGGTATCTGGATGCCAACCCCACCAGAGTCATCAAGTGGGAAATTAAAATCAACAGCAATAATAATAATAATAATCCTTGCATTTGATACAGCGCCTGATCACGTCTTCGAGACGTCTCGAAGCGCTTCACGAGACGGGCCGTTAAGCGAATTGACGGTGTGCCCCGTGGGCTGAAATGCGACCCCACCTCTCCCACCCAAAAAAAATAATCTTAAAATAAATTAGTCGAATCAGCAGTCCACGGGTTTGTTTTAGCAGATTACAAAGTCGACGGCTTGGGTTTTTTTTTTTGAAAGGCGAATCATTTTTTTAAACCCATATTTGGGGTTCTGGAGAACGTACTTTTTTCGGTTTCAAAAGTACATTTTTGCAAACAATTGCTGATGGACGGATTAATTGCCTAATTGCTGTAAGGTGTTTGCACGTTTCTTGGTTCATTTGATTTTTAAAATGATTTAAATAAAATGCTTTTTTTAAAACTGAAGGTCAGTGAAGACATGTCCCACAATCACAGCTCCTCGCTCTGTTCCTTTGGGACATGGGATGTTCCCCATCCCCCATCCCCCGACCTCTCTTTAGTTCAGGAAAGAATCTGAAAGTAATTGCATGTTATTACACATTATTTACGCCAACTTGAAGAGATAAAGGGAAAAAAATCTGGCTTAATTAACAAGAGCCCAAGCGGATGGATGCAGCCATTTTTACATAAAGCTATATTTCCAGAAGAGAATGACAGTGAATGAGTAAAACACTGGTGTAAATGTTGATATCTACCAGCTAATACCTTCTGAATCTGAAGCACCTGTACTACAGCTGTGCACCTGTTTGTCCCATTGAATGGGTGTCGCCTTTATTTTTTTACATTTATTTTCCTTCTTATTATACTGATAGATTCAAGTTAAGATGTTGCAAGATTTATGTAGATCCATATTTTTAAAGAAAATTAAAAATCAGGCATTAAACAATTGTAAACTGTCTCTGATTTCTACTGAAAGTGGGGAATGAGTGGGACAGTGAGCTGAGTGCAGAGAGGTAATATATTACAGGGAAGAGTGAAGTCAGTAAAAGGAGGAGAATGCAAAATTAACACCTTAATATGGACTCTTGGAAGTGAAATCCATCTTTACAAAAATGGAATTTTGATTTGTCTATATAGCAACATTAATAATTCTGAGATATTATTACAATTTCCACTTTTTATCAAAGCATCTCATACAAATTGTTAATTTTATCATGTATAATCTTATACATTATATCATTGCAAGGCTGACTCTAAACATCAGAGCCAAGCTAAATGCTATTAACTTTTTGTTCCATTGCTTAATTTCTGTGGCTGAATCCTAACTACAGGCAGCTACAGGCCAAAAGGGTATTAACTTCATATTAAACTCCTTAACCCAGATTAAATTTTACACAGCACCATCCAATTTGCTATACGGCTCGAGCACAGTAACATTAATACGCTATTTAAATATTCATGCCTGTATTAATAGTGCTACAGCACAATCTATAACCACGAGCCAGAAACAGCATGCACAAAAATTGGTTCAGTTCTGATGAATTATTTAAATCGTCTTTCCTTAAAAATATATCACATGACCTATAACTTGACCCCCCCCCGTTTACAGCAGAGTAACTAATCCGGCAATGTGCTTTAGATTTCAGATCCTGCAGTTTGTTTCAAGTTGACTTAATGCAGCTTCTCCTTAAATCTCTATGGATCAATAATGCCAAGTAATCTCACTCCCAACACAGTGACAATCTATTGCAACAAACAAAGCTACTGAGCTACAGCTGCAGTGAAGCCCACCACTAATTATCTTGCTAATGAAAACATCCCTTCCACTTCCAGCTCAGGAAGCCTATGATCATGTTAGTTCCCTCACTGGAGCTATCTAATCCCAAATCACACTGAACGTTCAATGTTTTAATGTTCAGTTCCTTTTTGAAAGTTCACCATACCAGCACCTATGCTGGTAATTTGTTGTAGTATGCACAAAGTGTTTCTTTTTAAGTATATTTTAAAGACTATAGCCTAGGGTTGTGGAAGAATATAGATTACACGCTCCCTTCTATATTACATGATACTTGGATATATATAAGGCTGACTCTGAACATCAGAGCAAAGCTAAATGCTATTAAATTTTGTACCATTTCTTAATTTCTGTGCTAAATCCTAACAAACAGACAGCTGCATGCCAGGCAGGTATTAACTTCATATTAAACTCTTTGCATTCAATTGAGTTGTCCTGTATTATATTCCGAAGGTGCAGGTTAAAATAAACTACACACAAAGCCAACCACGGAAGTAAACAGAACTTTAAAACAATTTATTTTCTAAATGTGCAGGTGATATGTGATCTCAGAAAACAAATCCATGAAATGCACAGTCCGATGGGAAGGCAGGAGAAGGGAATAACTCTTTTGATTTAATGCCTTGGTGAGGCTGGAAGGGCGGGGCTGATTGGAGATATGGGGAGAACAAGAGCCATGGTATCTGCACATTACACCAGGAAGCCAATAGAGATCATTCACAATGAGGCAGATGTCAACACCAGCCACCTGATCGAATGGACCGGGAATCATAGAAATTACAGTTTAAAAAGAGGTCTTTTGGCTCATGGAAAACAATGATCATTATGTTAGTTCCACTAATTGGAGCTATCCAACTCCAATCCCAATTCTCTGCGCTTTTCCCTTGGTCTTGTTCCTACTCCTCCTTTTATGCAATTCCATTTTAAATGTTAAGGATTCCCTTTAAATTTTAAAACATTTCTATATCTAGATAGATCTGGTGGATTCTTGCTTAAATATGATACTAAAATAACTGTAGTCTTATGTGTGCTTCATAATATAGAATCATAGAATATTCAGCACAGAAATAAATCACTGTTTTTCTCCACATGAGCTTCCTTTCTTTTCTCGGCTGTGCCTCTGTTTTAGTCAGTCTACACACCGCCTCCACTCTGGCTCATATGAGGCAGTGCGGAGAGACAGGAAGAGAGGCAGAGCGGGAGGTAAGAGGCAGCGTAGAGAGCAGGAGCCACGTCCAGCAGCAATAGAGCTGATCTTAGTGGTGCTGAAAAACAGATTTTGATGCACACAGTGTTGATGAATTTATGCACTTTCTGGATTTCATATCACACCTTGAGTGTGAGAAAACTCCATGAGAAATGCTAAAGCATGTGAAACAGAATCACTTGGTGGTATCAACATTTCCGTATGTGGCAGTTGCTCTTTGTGTGTTCTTAACACTACCCAGTAACAGTCTGTGACTGTGAACACTTGTTCTCAAAGGTGAGTCTCTTCAAAAAATCACTCAGATCTTTAATGATCCAGGATAGATTGAATGCACTCACAATCCCGTCTATGAAGCACAATTTGACACTTATACAATGTTTTGATCATGTAGTTGACATGTTTGCAACTATTTAGTCATGTAAGAAAGTATTTTTAAAAATACCTTGTGGGCGTAGTACAAAGGACCCCCAAATGTGATCTGCCTTTGGGCTCCCAGATCCCTTAATCTGACCCTGCTGGTAACCTCTTATCTCCATTCATGAAAATTGGGACCCTTCACACATCTACACTGCAGCTGAACTCGAACTGCAATCTCCCTGTGGTGAGATCACTTTGATCGATCCACCTGTTAACTAATATCTATCAGATTCTGTTATTCAATATCCCTAATGTAGCTTCATTCTGCTTTGCGTCTCAGTGCCGATTTCCCTGATCTTACAAAGCACAACAATTGCATGGCGTCCTGCTTGACCCCAGGTCTGTATGCCAGGCTCCGGGACAAAGCTACTCCTGCTGGCTGGACACTGGATCAGTGTATCCAGACGGGAGTGGACAACCCCGGACATCCTTTCATCAAAACTGTGGGCATGGTGGCAGGTGATGAAGAATCCTATGAGGTAAGGGAGGTTTTGTTAGTTAAAACTGTCTGTGTGTCAATAGAGTGAACAGAAGGCTACAGTACTCAGCTTAGGTGTCAGTCAGGCTCAGTTAGTAATTCTCTCGCCTCTGATCAGAAAGTTGTGAGTTTAAGTCCCACATAAAAATGTTGATCTCACATAGTCTAGGCTGGCAATGTAGTGTAGCGCAGGAGTGAGCTGGATTGTTGCAGCTTCTGTTCCTTTGGATGAGATGTTAAACCGTGGTCTTATGTGCCCATTCTTAATATACGTTTGGGAACAACTCAAGACACTAAAGATCTGGTTTAAAGTCCTGGAATGCCTGAACTCTTGCCAAGGAAACTACACAGGATGTGGAATTCCCAATTGCCTGAATTATTTGAAGATTTACAAAGTGGTAGAAAATAAGTGTGCAACTCCAGGGCTTCATGCACAAATGGCAGATTAGGCGTGCAAACTCAGGCCTCCATACGCAAACAAAATAGAGCAGGTATGTTAGCCCCAGGGCCCATACATAAATGCTAGAGAAGAGTTGTGCTAGTGTGGATCCCATGCATGGATGATCATTGATTTTTTTTGGAAAAGCATATGTTCCAATTTGGCTTTGTTGGCTCCTTAAGGTTTCAGGTGAATTCGAGATTAGTTTGACTTCTGTCATGGAAGTGTCAAGAATCAGGAGGGAGAGGGGTGAGGGTGGGGTCAGAGTACATTGATTTCAGCGCACTGATAAAGAAAAATAATGCATGGGATTGTACTCCATATTACCTATCACATAACTTAGAAAATACTGAGAAAAGCAAAAGCTAAGGCTCAGTCTGCCTTATCAAACTGATTGTCTGAAAAGATTGATTATTAAAACCCATTTCAAGATGTCTGGTAGCTCTGAGTTTCTGTAAACATTCCACCGCCTCACTCTTTATTCTATGAAACCATTACAATCAGTTCTACAAAAGTACCTTTGTCGTGGGTTTCTCCGATTTTCATATTGTAGAGCACAGAAAATGGTCACCATTTCATCCAGTCTGGATGCTGAGATACTGAACATGACTGTAATTGACATATACCAACTGCAGAAAGTAACTGATTAACAATTATAATGGTTAAATTAGGCTGTGAAATTTAAATTTTTACAGTCTTCAGATAATAAGTACCTCTCAGCCTCTCATTAGACTGAAATCTCTGTTGGCTTGATCCTTGTTAGTGTTAATGATTTACTGCTTTTATTGGCTGTGAAACTCTTTTAGTGAATGATCAGCAACAATCAGGTCAGGGCTATTGTGCTCTGAATTCTCTTTCTGCCCTAGTGTCTTGCCACACAAATATCAACCACTCTGCTATTGGGGATAAGGTGTTCTACCATTGGACCTTTAGAAATGTTAGAGAAAGGGCATTTGGGACAAAAGGCCCTATTTTGTTCCTGCTTCATCTTGATCCCATTATTAATTCTCTCCCTCTCTGTTCTTATCTGCACCATACTCTATTTCCATCCATGAGTGGCCATTATTTTTGTGTAATCTTGGACAGTGAGAAATATTTGGAGGAGAGCAACAGGAAAGACATAATAAAACATTGAATCCTTTCCTCCTCAGGCATCCAAACACACACACACCTACCTATCCAATGGACACTAACTCCTGACGGATTCTCTGTCTTTGACAGGAACTAGTGACTAACCCTGCAACCTTCTGGTCTGTACAAGAGAGCTGACAATTTTATTTTTTAACCTTTTGCTGAGTCTAATCTAGTCTAAAAACATTGTGCTGTTATTGCAAGCTAGAGGGAATTCACAGTGTTTAACAGCCAGGGTTCAGCAGGATGAAGCAATTTAATTACCTTGGCTGTGCATAAATAAAATAATTTCTCATTAAACTGACCATAAATAAATGAGAGCAGCCAGACAGTGCAGGGATATTGCCATCCTGTAATCTGCTAATTGTAGCCTAGTTGAAATGAATTGGATTATTCCCTTCTCCCACCTGCTGTGATTGATGCTGGGTTAAATTGGCACAACATGCTCTGGAACTAGTAAGCAGGGGGTTTACAGTCCCACACTACTTTGATCACCAGGTTAGATGTTATTTGCATTGGATGTCACACACAAGATATCACGTCTGCTGACCACAAAGTTAGAGGTTTTCACAGGCACAAAGAAGAGGCGGACATAACTGATGGTTGCATTCTCTCTCATTGGCAGGTCTTTGCTGATGTCTTTAACCCTGTTATTTTGGAAAGACACAATGGTTATGATGTCAAGGTCATGAGGCATCCTACGGATCTGGATAGCAGCAAAGTGAGTCAGCTCAGGAAATAATACATTTTTAAACATGTCCACATTTATCCGAAGTTTACCGAGGTCGTAACTGTGGGCGGAAAAATATGATGAAGAATACAATAATAAATCTGACAACGTTCAGGTGAAACGTTAAAACAGAGTCATTGATGCCTGTTCAGGTGAAAGTTGAAGATCCATGTCGCTATTCAAATATGGAAGAGAGTTCTTCCTAGTGTCCTGAACAGCAAACTTCCGTCTTTATCTCATGGCTCACCCACCCCCCCCACATTCAAAACTCTTAACTATCCAACGGGAAAACCTTCCAAAATGAAAGGCTCCGTATAAATGTAATTTTGTTAATGTTATTATATCTCCTTTGGGTCGCTTTTAATTTCCATCACAGATTTTTTGGGGGATCTTTTAAAGACCATCCCAACAAAGCAATACTGACACAAAGGGGAAAAATATCTGGGTCGTTACCAAAAATAAACAAAGTGAGCAGTTGGGAGAATATTTTTCTTAACACATAGGGGTTGTTAGGAAAATGGAATGTCTTACCAAGAACTGTAATTGAGCAAGATCTATAATAGCATTTTTTTTAACAATAACAAATTACATTTGTGTAGGGCTTTTCACGTCGGTAGGACGTCCCAAGGCGCTGAAATTTCACGTTCTTTCATTTACCAAATTTTTTTTTGAAAATAAAAGAGAATTAAACACACTATTTGAAAAGGACAATACAAAGACATATGGAGAGAAGACAGGGGAGCGGGACTAAATAGATAAAGCTCACAACGAGCCACAGAGCTCATTCACAATGGGCTGAATGGCCTCCTTCGGTGCTGAAACATTTGGCGATTCCATTTATGCTACTCCTCTCCAAAAAAAGTAAACTGTTTCATTAAGCGAACAAACGGGTACACAAGATCCGCTGTTATTTAACGTCACCGCTTGCATTTTATTTCTCTGCAGATCAAACAGGGGATGTTTGATGAAAAGTACGTCCTCTCCTCGCGTGTGCGGACTGGTCGCAGCATCCGTGGGCTGAGTATGCCCCCGGCCTGCTCCAGAGCCGAACGGAGGGAGGTGGAGAGGGTGGTCACGGATGCCCTGTCTGGCTTAAAGGGAGATCTGACTGGCAAATACTACAAACTCTCCAACATGACCGACAAAGAGCAGCAGCAGCTGATCGATGTAAGAAATTCAAAGAGCAAAGCGTCCTTCATACACACACACACACACACACAATGCATTCCTTAGCCTTCCTTTACGACAGGACCAAATACTTATCCATTTCCATCCAGATTCCTTCGCAGTTTTTAATTAAAATGGAGGGAATCAGATAGATGGAGGCAGAAAAAAATAAAATGAAAGGGAATGTGGAGCAAGTTGGTTCACGTAAAGGAAAGCATCAGCGCAGATTTGGGAAGCCATATGGTCTGTTTCTGAGCTGTGGTTGTAAGAGCCACCATGTTGAGACAATGATGAGCCCAACACACCATATGCTGAACATTCTGGTTTCAGATATCAAGAGGGAAGCAAGCATCTGCAGTGAGGTGGAATTTCTCAGCTTGTGTTTCTAGTCTCGGAGTGTCTCTATAATCGGTATCAGGATTAGTACAGTAATATAATTTCTGCTTCGCCCACAGGTTAGGTCTCAAGTGATAATTAAAAAGTATAAATTACTAGGTCTGTTAAATGCATCTTTAGTCTGGTCCAGATCTCTCCAAACCTTGCATCTATTTCTATAATTTTATCAAGAGTTTGGGTCACCTACCGGCTCAGTGGCTGAAGACACCAGCTGATGTGGAACTGAGCCACACAGACTGGGACTATCCCAAGTTCCATCCCCAGCCTGAGCTCAATTACTGTCGTCAGACAGGGCAGGAGCTCAGTGGACAATTGGCCTTGGTCCCACCCACCGCCACCCTCCCCTCACCACTCCCCCCNAACCCATATACTAAATTAGGAAGAGGAAAAATATTCAATCAGGGTTCCAATATCTGGTCATTAAACCAGAGATAGCCCCTCCATCTGCTGAAATGTGTGTTAGCATGTGGACATCAGGCGAGGATGGCCTTACCTTATTTTTGATAGGTAAGGGTATCGAGGGATATGAGGCAAAGGTGGGTATTTGGAGTTGAGATATCGATCAGCCATGATTTAATGGAATGGCAGAACAGCTTGAGGGTCTGAATGGCCTACTCCTGTTCCTATGAGAACAGGATCAGGAGAGCATCATCTGTGATGTTGACTATCACTCTCTGTTACAAAGCTCACAAACACAAAATGGCCAATCAGGGCAAGATACAGGGGAGAAGGAGGAGCGGGGAGGGGGAGAGGGGGAAACAAAAACTGCAAAAATTGAATTTCTCTCTCATTTTTAAAACAAAATAGATGATGTTTTTAGTGTTGCAAGTTACTCGGTGTAATTGAATGTGGGAATCTTTCTCTTTAGGACCACTTCCTGTTTGACAAACCAGTGTCTCCTTTACTGATGTCAGCAGGGATGGCGAGAGATTGGCCAGATGCCCGTGGGATCTGGTGAGTTTTTCCTTTGACCGGTCTCTCTTCCTCACCTGAACTCTTCCTCTGTGAGGGACCATTTCCAACCCTGCAAGTCACCCAGCCAGTGACCCGGTCACTAGTTCAAATCCGAGACTTGTCTGCCACTGAGATCAGTTAGCTAAACCGGTTAGCTAAACTCCAGTCACTGATCCGGACAGATTAATCCATTGCTTTTGATGGCGTTACACAGATGTGGAAGCTGGTCATTGAGTTAAGGGCATTGGGATCCAAATCAAAAGGTATCTTAGATATCAACTAGGAATTTTCTGGATATGTGGAAGATGAACCACCCTTCTAAATCTACCCCACTCTGTCTCACTCTCTGCTTTCCAGGCACAACAATGAGAAAACCTTCTTAATCTGGATTAATGAGGAGGATCACACCCGGGTCATCTCCATGGAGAAAGGCGGCAACATGAAGAGGGTGTTTGATAGGTTCTGCCGGGGACTCAAGGAGGTAATTCAACTTCAGCTACAGAGAAATCAGAGCCGTGCCTGGAGATCCTGACCAATAACTCAACGTTCATCTCCTGGCTGTTTATGGGACCTTGCTGGGTGCAAATGGCCGTTGCATTTATACACAAAGATAATCACTATGATGAGCACTTTGAGATGTTTCAACATAGTCACATGCTACAAAAAAAAGACTTTTTCACGTAGATGTATAATGTTTGACATTAATTATGTAGTTACATGAAATCCAATAACAGTATTGCAGGCAACTTATTCCCTTTACATTCTTTACACGGATAACAATTCTTTCAGAGAGCTGGCACAGGCTCGATGGATTGATTTACCTCCCTGTTATAATGCAGTATTTTAGGTACATTAAATTGGACCCCATGGCCAGTGATCCTATTCTGGGTTATCAGGTTGTTCCCACTGACAATACTTTTAGCTACTGGTGCAGATGCTTTGCTTCTGGCAATACTCTTACAGTCAGAGCTGGAAGTGACGTCAATATTGACCAGATGACCCAGAAGCAGGTCTAGTGTCCAATTGTATTTGTACTGCACATCTGGTACAGTGCTGGTGCACAATCTATTGTTCACGTTATAACTTGGTCAGACTGGACTTCCTGAAGTGTAAAATTCTATGATTCATAATCCCATTTAAAAGGGAATTAGATAAATACTTGACAAAAATAAATATTAAAGGGTACGGTATGGGGGAAAAAGAGCAGAGAAATGGGTTTAAGGAAGATAGACATAGTGGGGGAGCTCGCTGGATGGATACGGAGCAGGAGAATGACAATGAAGTAGAGTTCCAGTTGGGGAGTTAGCACCTGCACGGACACAATAACCTGTGTTGTATGATTTTATATTTCTATGATTCAGCCCCACACATCCACTTGTTCAAAAACTTTCAGGGAAAGACTTGCCTCATTCAGATTCCTTGCTTCATAATTAAACCTCATCCTGGCCTATACGTTCGACACAATGTCCATCAGACCGTTCTCCATCCGACTTCAATTCGCAAACTACCTGCTTAGTATTCTATGTGCTTCTTGCTGCCTGTCACCTCCTTTCATCACAGAGTCAGGGAACCAGCATCAGTCGAAAGCTAACCACAGCATGAAAGCAATTGTTCTGTCTCTCACTGCTACGAGCAGAGCTCTGCTTATTGTGTGCACAAATCCCTCACCACAAATTCTTTCACGCAATAGCATTATTCTATTCAAACTTCAATGGAGATTAGGGATGTGAATCTGTACATTAAGATCTCCCCACTGTATGCGAGAGGAAGGGGAAGAGAACTGACCCAATGCAAACTTAACACTGCGTTTAAAAGTACTTGCACAAGACACAATAGTTCCTATGATATCAAAACGTCTCAAAATACTTCACAACTAGTTATTGTCAAGGGTAATAATGACTATATATTTGTTGACAAACATAATAAGCATTTTGCACACAGCAAGGTGTGAAAGCAACCATAAAGTGAATGACCAACCTTGGTGGAGATTGATGTGCGTATTGTCATGGCATCTTTAACAGTCACCTCAACAGCCAGACGGAACCTCAGTTGAATATCTTGTCTCAAAGGCAGAATTTCAAACAATATAGTGCTCCCCCAGCATTTCACTGGAGTGTTAGTTTCTGGATTATAAACTCAAGTCCCAATGTGGGGGCTTGAACTGACAAATTTCTGATCTAGAGACGAGAGTGCTACCAACTTACCCAAATAAGCACTTTAAGGAACCTGAAGAAGAATTATCCATTACATTTCACTTTAGTTTGATTTGTGCCATTTACTTGTCTCAACCCAACCTGTGGACATGTCAGACAGTCCACTCCTTACATGTGAATGATTGTTCTTTTCTAGGTGGAGAGGCTGATTTATGAGAAGGGATGGGAGTTCATGTGGAACGAGAGATTAGGATATATCCTGACCTGCCCATCTAACCTGGGCACCGGACTCCGGGCTGGTGTCCACGTCAAGTTGCCTATGCTCAGCAAGGTACCCGCTATATTCTCTTCATAATGTTGCTTCATATTGGTGGATTGCATGATCGGACACTGGAAGCCACGATGGGCAATACCCTTTCTGTGAATCATGGCTTGACAGTGCTCAGCGAAGGAGATATTTATTCAAAGTACTAAGCACTATGGGCTGTGTATTGAAATAGCTGTCTTGCCCCACAGTCACTTGGTAACTGGGCCAGGATTGGGTTGTTCACATTGTTGGGATAGTGTAGAGGAGGATTTACTCGGTATATAACCTATGCTGTACCTGACCTGGAAATGCTGGATAGGGCAATGTAGAGATTGGTTTACTCTGTATCTAACCAGTGCTGTACTGTGGAGTGCTGCATGGGATAGTGTAGGAGGAGCTTTTACTCTGTATCTAACCTGTTTGTATCTAACAAACTCTGTGCTTGACCTGGGAGGCTGGATCAAATGAGATGTTCCATTCCCAAAACTAACACTGTTTCATCGCAATAAGCGTAAAGCCTTTTAAGGCTAGTATGAGCTGGTTAAGCACTGAAACATGAGGAGCTACATCTCCTCTTCAAGATTTATAATCATTTTCATCTTCACTTAAAACCTACCCCAATTCTCTGAGGCCCTGATTTCATCTTGTCTTAGCCCGTGACACAATTTTTTTTAAAATTCTACAATTCTGGGTGACCTTTAAAATTAAGGAAAATAAATTGAACGTGTAAAAGGTGGGTGGAATCTCGGGGCTCTGTAAACTGTTGCTATGTTACAGGACCCTCGATTCAACAAGATCCTGGAGAACCTACGGCTGCAGAAACGTGGAACCGGAGGAGTGGACACCGCTGCCGTTGGGGGAACCTTCGATATCTCCAACCTGGACCGTCTGGGCAAATCCGAGGTCAGTAACTGGTTTCATTTCCTCCTCGTCTCCCTGCTAGGCTTGCTTTAGGGACAACTACATGGTCCCAGAATTCCATCTCAGGGAAGCCCCGATGCAGATAGAGCCACAGCGCACAGCCTCGTTCCGCGTTTCGCCCACAAAAATGCAGTCAATTCACTTAACAGTATATCCTGTGAAACGTTTTGAGACGTCTCGAAGACGTGATAATGGAAGATTATTGTTATTATTATGACTTGCATGATTCTAACATTCTGTCGCTTGTACAACCTTATCCAGGCATAATAATAATAATAATAATCCTTGCATTTGATATAGCGCTTTTCACATCTTCTAGACGTCTCAAAGCGCTTCACAGAATAAGCTGTAAAGTGAATTGACCGTATATTTGCGGGCGAAATTTCTCCCGAAACGCTGGCAGATAATGTGCCGATAATTTCTTTTTTTCTCTCTTAGGTGGAATTGGTGCAGATGGTGGTCGATGGGGTCAACTACTTAGTAGAGTGTGAGAAAAAACTAGAAAGAGGCCAAGATATCAAGATCCCAGCTTCTGTGATCAAACGCTAGTTTCTCCCAGCTAAAATCTGTGACTCTAACCGTGTGATGTACAGTGGAACACTCTGCATGGTTACACATTCGCTTTCCATTGTATTCAATGTCTAAATGAATAAACATCTCGACTATCCAAACTGGTTATATTTAATTTTATCAAAAAGACATTACTGGTGCAAATTAAAACCACAAATGTGAAAATGCATTAAAAAAAAAGTATCAAATGCAGAATACTGTTTTGTGGCATGTCATCCTGTAACAATCCAAATGCTCACAGCCAGGCAAACACGATTATAATGTCATACTTTGTGAACAAATATACAATTTTTTTGAAAAAAAGGTAAAAAAAAATATACTCTGAGTCATAAGCGTAAAAGTGATTCTATTGAATTTCCAGTCACTGAAGCAGTTCTGGAAGTGTATCAGCAGCCAGTGGTTGTCTGTAAAATAAAAGGATTTGTTGCTGTTTCAGTATTAGGAGAGGTGGCTTCAGAGCACGGCAGGATCATCAATCACACTGTGCACCAACAAGCTGCAGCCACTACAGCAACAACAGCTGAACACTGGTGGAGCTTGACTCCGATATAGCTTAACAGTGGTAGAGCCTGACTCCGAGTCGGGTGTTGGGGGGGGGGGAAAGACTACAGGGTTGGCTCGACAGTGTGCGGAGAAGAGCTCTCTTGGCTAAATGTTCTGCATCTGGTCTCATCAATGGACTCTACCTGAAGGGTGGAATGTCCCCCACGCGGTGGTGATGCTGTGGGTCGTAGCTCTAAGGAAAGCAGACGAGAAGCAGTCAGTACCCAGCTTTGAGGGAGGGAGAATCACACTCAAAAGGTCACCTACTTCAACTGTTGTGTATTTCCAGGCACGGGTGGGGGAGGGGGCATTCTGAGTTGAGTCGCCTCACCTCCATTCCCTAAAGGCTTTTGAATCCTTTTATTTTCTACTTAGATTGGCTTTACAGACACTGTGTGTGACCCTTTGCATTGATGTCAAAGGTATCAGAGCCAAACTTGATCCAGTGCTCACCTGATGCCCATACACTTTCCAGCAGAGGGTGTCCAGACAGCATTAAGGATCAGATAGCGCTCGCTCTCTCTAACCTCAGGGCTGCTGAGCCCCTAACTTCCACCTGGTCATGGCCCATAGAACCATTTTTTCATAAGATTGCACAGAATTATGAAAAATTCTAAAATTCAGTCTTCACTTGGGACCTAGCTTTCTGCAGTTCTTAAAACTAACTAACTTCCAGCTTCCAAATCAATACTGCATTTTTCACATATTCTGCAACACCTTAATTTCTGAGACAAAATGGGTTTTACAACCTAGGATTAGGTGGAATTTGGTCACCAGCTGCTGCCCTGACCAGAATCAGCTAACTCAGCACAGATCAGGATAGGAATCTGTGACCTCTAGTTGTGGCTATAGGTGTTACACTGGGTAGTGAATTTACCAAGCGTGTCATTAGGGCAGCTTGAACCCCCCCAAAAAATAATACATTTAACTGTAATCTTCCACCTTTGAGTTGTTTCTGTGTATAAAGAGCACAGACTATCTGTCAGCTTTCATTCACAAATCTTTTACTTTACCTTCAGAGATAGCACACTAATATCCCAAGACAAATGCCAATTACAATATCCCAAAGCTATAATATTTATAGTTCAGCCTCTCGGCTGTAATAGGATAGAATACAATGAGATAAATCCCAACAGCTTGATACCTAAGCTCAACTCTGTAACTAACCTGTACTGTACCTAACCTGAGAGTGCTGGATTGGACACTGTGGAGGGAGCTTTACTGTGTATGTATTTCACCGGGAAATTCTAGATGCTAACACTGGTGCTTAAAATCCTCACTTACCCCTAGTGACGTTACCTGGAGGTACAGAGGTAGTACTCGACATGAGTTCGAAAGTGGTCCTGCTCTCAGCCTTGTTGGTGCTGAAATTGTGTACGTTCAGATTGGGTTTTCCAACTTGCTTTGTGCTCTGCTTAGCTGAGAGCCCGACCCACCGGTGCCAGTACTCCTTACAGCAATGCCTGAATTGACGATTTAAAAATGCGTACAGAACCGGGTTTAGGATACAATTGAGGAAAGTCAGCCAACAGGAGAAAAAGTCCAGCATCTGTGGAATTCTGGTCCCTGACCCAGAGCTGTGCCAGAAGTTCACAATAAAATAGGGTGTCCAGGTGAAGAAGTAGGTTGCTACAACAGCGCTGATCGTTTTGGCTGTTTTGGATTCCATTCTCATATCCAGCGAGTTGTTGAATCTGGCCCTAACCTTTCTCTTGAGAGAAAAGCTTGGATTGGATGCTACAAAACTGGCCCATTTTCTTTGCAGGCTGTCCCGTCCCAATCTGAACCTTCTATTGTCTGTGGGCAATATGTTATCTTCATGCCCAGAGAGAGAAACGCTGGTGAGTTGGCTGGCCCTATATTTTATATGATTATGCATGACCTGATATATAAGGTAATAGGAGACCAGAACTGTTGTCAAAGCCACTGCGTAGATCCAGATAAAAATGTAGATACCATACACCAGACTGGAACCCCCATCAGACCAGCTGTACTCACACAAACACCTGGTGGGAGAGAACTTGAATAGGCCAATTCCAAAGAGCGGTGGGATCCCGTAGATCACGCCATTCCACCACACAAACACAATCATTTTCTTAGCTTTCTCTCGCGTTATGGTAAGTATGAACGGCTTTGCAATCACATAATATCTGTCCAACGCAACCCCAGCCACCGACAGGATGGAGATATTCTGCAAGGAAAGAGTCACAAAGCCGGCGATCTGACAAAATGTTCCACCCAGGGGCCAACTCTGAGCCACGATTGCCATGATAATGAAAGGCAGGCCCAAAAGAGCAATCAGGAAATCAGCCATGGCCAAGGAGAACACAAACATGTTGGTGACGTTTCTCAGGGAACGACACTTGTAGAGCAGCACCAGGACTGTAACATTCAGTGGGAGGCCGATGATTAGGATGAGGAGGTAAAGAAAGGTCTGAATTGCGGTCTCTGCTGTTGAGTATTGATGATTGTTATCGGATGCGGTCAGCCCAGGGAGGGCCACATCTAGACTGCTCATCTTCAACACCTGTTACACCATCAACTCCAGGATAAAGTTTTCACTCAATCAAGCAAAGGTCTTCAGCATTGGCCATTCGAGAGTGAGCTTAAACAGGAGACCACCAGCCTCAGTGTGTTATCCCTTTCTCAATACAATCTGGATCTCTCAGCATTTGAAAATAACACTAACTGAGGCTGATTCGTCTTTCTTCTCATTTGGTGAGTCACTGGAAACCCTTAAACAGCGGACAATTGCAGTACCGCTGATGCAAACGTGCAAAATTCAGTGTGGGAGAAGTTTCTTCCAATTGCCATGGGGGCTGGGAAACATTTATCTTTTTTGGCAGGACGCCTTCACAGAGATTTTAAATTGCTTTTGAAAGTCCTGCAATTGTGCAATAGGGTCATATGCCCCAAATGGATTTTTTGATCTTCTCGCTCAGTAACCCAACGCCAGACTGCAGGCTTCCCTGGGGCACGCACGGCGTCTCAGCATTCCACTGAATTTGAGGGTTTTGCCTTCGCTCCCATAACCTACAAAGGTACAAAAAAGAATCTAATGCTCTCATTGTTTTAAATGCCAAGATATCCACGTTTTCTATATTAGATCAACTCCTCTGTCGCGGTTGTTACCTTTCAGCATAGTGTGAATTGAAACTCACTCCTTTTTGTGTACAAAAAAGTATCTGCTGAATGCCTCATAATAGGATAGGTTCCCAGGATTTAAGATGGTTTGTTACATTGGATCTCAAATAAACAGGGTGTCATCTGTAGCAAAAGCAGAAACCTCATGAAATTCACATTGTCTTTTTTAACTGGAAACCATAGAAAGATTTGAGATGGATACCACTGAACAAGTCAAATTGACCACCGATAGTTTGCATTTTGCAGCAATCAGCTTTCGTGCACCTTTATAGTGCCTATTGTGCAAGAAATAAGTCTCAAAAGAGCATTATAAAGATAACTATAATCCTTGCATTTGATATAGTGCCTTATCATGCCGTTGATATGCCTCAGAATGCTTCACAGAATATATTGTAAGTGTAGTGACTGTATGCTTTGTGGGCAAACAAGGCAGTAAATCTGCACTAGCAGCATTATAAAATAATAATAATCCTTGCATTTGATATAGCCACTTATCATGTCATTGGGACATCTCAAATTGCTTCACAGAATATACTGTAACTGACCCTATGCTTTGTGGGCGAAACGCGGCAGCCAATTGCACACAATAGTGACCCACGAACAGTCATGGATTGAGTGACCACATTTTTTTTTAAGAAAAGATTATTACCTTTCATTCTACACAGTGATAAGATGACCAATCATTTCACCTTTTTTTGTGAGTTCATCTTAGGGTGGAATGTGGGGCCCAGACACTGGATGAATTCCCTGCTCTTCCTCCAAATAACGCTGCAGGATTTTTAACCTCATCGCCTGAACCACTCGGTTTTACATGTCATCCAAAGGACACCACTTCTGACAATGCAGAGCTCCCCCAGTACTGCACTGTAGTCAACCTACAAGTCCTGTGGCATGGTTTGAGCCCACCGCCTTCTAACCCATGAGGCTTTGTGCTGCCACCTGAGCCAGACTGACTGAGAAATGCTGCTTAAAGCTTAATTTAAAATGTGTAACGTTCAGACATTCAAAAACAGCTGACCCAATATCCTTCTCTCCCCCTATCCCCCAAAGATTGTTTACCACAGTTAAGGTGACTGTTACAAATAATTTATTCCGCAAACCACACATTCAACACAGTATCTCTAAATCAAACAGCAAGCCATGCATTTAACCAGCTTGTATCTAGTTTCTGGTTGCCCACTTGGGTCTGAAAGGGTCATGGTGCTGAAGCAATCTTAAAATATTTGAGATTTCCTCTACGCAGAATTTCTCCCCACTCGCCCAAGGCTGGTGGAGGCAGTGGGTGGAGGAGCTGTTGAGATTTGCTGTATTAAAACCAAACACCAACAAGATTCTATGCAAATTGCTGGGTATTTTGAACAGCTTCTGAAGATAGATCTCCATGGTAACTGGTCTCAGCTGCAATCTGCCCTACAATTCCCACAGTGGAACAGCTTTTGTTATCCGCTTGAATAGCTTTTGTGTTACAAGGCAAACAGGCTAAAACAAACTTTAGCTTTTAACACTTAACTCTCTGAAGGAACTTAGTTGGAAAAAATCAGTTGATGGTTTCAAAATGATCACTTTCAGAGATCCAATAATTATCCCGATCAATGTACAAACGACTTGCGTTTATATAATGCCTTTCATGTAGTATGATATCTCAAAGAGCTTCACACAGATGGGTGGCAGAGTGGGGGATGCGGTGTGGGGGGGGGGGAAACTAGGAGGCACAAAGTTAGGTTTTTAAAGCCAGGTATTGAAAGCAGAGAGGGAGCAAGGTAGAGAGATTTGTGTGGAACAGGTCTGTTTCTGTGCTGTAACATTCTATGATTCTAGGATCACAGTTGTTGCACATCAAATAGGAAAGGCGCAAGTTCAGTGGCTAAATCACGGTGTGCTAACTGAGCTAAACAGATCAGGAAGGTCATAGGGTGCATCATCGGTCTATACTGAGTAAGCACAGCCTTAGCCTCAGTGTCCTAAGGTTTGTGTCCCAGGATCTTTAACATCCCCTGGGTGGACATAAAAGATCCCATGGCGCTATTTAAAAAGAGAAGGGAGTTCGCCCGATGTCCTGGCCAACAATCCCCAAATAAAAAATTGGTCACTCGCTCCATGACTGTTTGTGATACTTTGCTTTGCACAAACTGTCTGCCATGTTTTGCCCACAAATACACAATCAATTCACTGCACATTATATTCCGTGAAGTACTTTGAGACGTCTCGATGACAGAATAAGTCACTATATCAAATGCAAGGATTATTATAAAGGCTTCCTGGGAGTGAGATGTCAGTAGTAGCGTGAAATCGTCCCCAGCACAGGTCACCTCCTTCAGGAGAGGAGGGAATCCAGACATTACACTTAACAGCAATTTCCTATAAAGTGCTTTGTGACAGTCAACATTACAGGCACTGCAAGGATTTGTTTCATAACACTGAAGGGAGAAAATACTAGGGAGAGGGAGAGAGAAAAACAGGGGGTACATATCCTGGAAAAATGGAACATGAAACACGACATAATAATCCAAAATAATCCAGAGTAAAAGCAGAATTCCGCATTGTCCTGCCTGTACTGGCAAGTGCTGCATTGTTCTTTCCAAGGTCAGGAACAGGATTTACTGCAGCAAACGCAGAAAAGGAGTGAAAAGCCTTTGTTTGTACTCTAGATTTTGGAGTTCCTGTATGAACTGCGATCCTGGCAGTGATTTCCGTTTGCTTTTTTTCCCCCCAGTACTTCCCCCTCCTCCCTTTCCTCCTCTGAAGGCACTGACTTGTGCTAGCTGGTGGTTTGACAGGTGCTCCCTGCTACCTCGCCCAAAGTGGTGTCTACTCACACTGTTTGTCTAGGGAGGAGGCCTGATCTGACCTCACCTGATATGTATACACATGCATCTCTTACATACACTCCCTCACACATACACACAGTAGGAGGAAACAGGATAAGATCCAGGATCCAGAACTCCACTCCAATGCCACGTTCACACAGGTCAATGGAAAATGAGGGGCACTGGGGTAAAGTTTCTAAAGTTTCGTAATGCCTAACTCGTGTTCATTTAAAATGCTGGGCATTTTACCGCACTGTAACCCAGTCATAGAGGAACAATAGTTTTTCAGGTATTTAAACACCTTCTGTATTCATACCATAGGAACATAAGATATTACAGGACCTGAAATAAATACACCCCTGGTCCTAATAAAAAAAGAATGCTACGTTCTGCCTCTTGTACCCTTCAATCAATTTATTTACCAAATAGCAACAACAAGTTACATTTACTGTATATAGTCCCTTTCACGTCAGAACACAGCCCCAATGGTACTTGGACAGTTAAGGATTCGCACCTAAGCTGGGGGTTCAAATCAAGAGGGGTGGAGGGTAGGGGGTGGACGGGAGAGTGCCAAAGAAGAAGGTCTTGAGACGAGCCTTCAAGGAGGCAAGAGAGGGGGCGTCTTGGAGGGATTCCAGGATGGAGTTAGACAGGGTGGGGGCAGAAAAGCTGAAGGCTGGACTTCACACTTCTGGTGGGGCAGGGCAAGGTCATGAAGCAGGCTGAGGAGCAGAGGCAGTGGACGGGTTTTTATGGTGTTAATAGGTCACAGAAGTAGAATTCTCTCTTGCACTTGCTGACACCTGCTTCCATGACGAGTCCATTCCCTACAGTCACCGCTCTCTGTGTAAAGTAATTAATTCTGAACTGTCTGTTCACCTGTCTTCTTCTGAGCGTCTATCTCAGCGTCCCTTTTGAAGAGTTAGTAGAAAATGACCATGTTTACAATGTACTGTATAAGCAGCTCATGAAAAGGATACACTATTAACACTGTACTCACCGCTTCCGTGTCAACTCAACCAGCAGAAAATGAGGTTTCCCTCCTATAAGAATATACTTTTCCCTCAAATAGTCCTGTTTGTTTTTTTCTTTGTCCGTTATTTGAGTTGCTGTGACACCACCAGAGGCTGTTTCCCCAGCACTGGCAGCGCGTTGAGACTGCTCTGGGCGTGTGCCTGGAGGTGCTGGTGGTCCTTTCACTCACTCACTGCCTCTGGGTTAGATTCCTTTCCACCAGGCAAAAGGAAGCAGAGCTTCCTGTTTCTGTCCCACTCTTCCTTTATCAGACCAACCCAGTTCCTTCCCTGCAATCTTACAGCACTCTCAGGATAACTGAGCAATCAAAAGCAGTGCGAGAGGAAGGGGAGAGAAAGAGAGAAATTTTCAGAGAGCAGGGGACGAGAGAGAGAGTTTGGTGGGGAAGAGAGAGAAATAAAGTAAGGAACACAGAACTACACTGACTCCTGGCTTGGTCACTATCCCACACCTGAGTTGGGACCTAAGCTCAGAGAATGGGAGAAAAGGGGATTGTGTTTTTTTTTTGTTAGCCGGGTGTCTGACATGTGTGGAAACTCATCACCGTGCGTAAGAGTATCCAAACCAAACTGAGACTTCCATGCATCCCACCTGCACGTGGGAATTCCAGAGATAGATTGTTGGAATGGAATGCGCA